TAAATGAGCACCTGGATTATTTCATAGTGGGTGTATCCAGAAATCTATCTATCCCTTCTCCTATTCCTGTGGATACAAGTACAGCAACTTTCATTTCATGGAACGAGCCACTCGCTGTTTTCTTGGCTATCCAGGACTGTCTAGGATCAACATAGCTTAGATAATAGTCCAGTTTCTCACGTGGGTGGGCATTGTTAAGGTTCAAACCCACACCCTCACTATATCAGTGTATTTACCCACGTGGGCGCGCGACACCGTCTGATCAGTCGCTCCCCACCTCTGTCAGTCTGGATTTGATATCTATATGTCCGAGGCCTGCGCATTCAGTACAATCTTGTAACCTGGCCCTTCTTGGTCATCCTCTTCTCCTTATTCCCTCCACCAGTATCATTAAAGAGAGGCTGGCAGATGTGTTACCTGTCTGTACCATTTACATCGTCCATCTCTCTACTGTTGTAAACTGTAGTTTATAGTTACCAGGGTGGTGAGTAATGACATGATAGACTTCTAATTTACAGTGTAGTATAGTGCATGGCATGAACAAATCTAATTTCCAATGCTTGTATTATTCTTTTAAGTTTGGACGTTAAGGTACATGTTTCAGAACCGTATATAAAGTTATTTATATCTAGTGCTAATTTCTGAACCCATTTCAGACTGGGCTAATCTAGGATTCTGGGCCAATTCTTAAAAAAAGCCCTACCTAGTTCGAGATTCATACATGTGACCACTGAGCCAGGAGGCAAGTTGTGCTAACTAATATATTACCATGGTTCTGCCATTGAAAAATATTTCATTCATGATATCTGCCTTTAATGATGATGTTCAAATTAATCACTCATGAAACAAAAATGGTAAGTTGTAAACTATACGTGTTTTATATAAGAAAATACATACAATATTTAAAAACATGACAGTATGTAACATCATAAAAGTATGAAACTGCTGCAAGCTTTCAAATTTAGAATACTCCAGTTAACGCCAGAAGCTATCAGTTTTTGCAAGTTTCTTCTGTGGCTTAGAGGTTAGTGAACATGTTTCACAACACTTGATGTACCATGATTCAATTTCTGCGGTGGGCAACAACACTTTCTCATGGCTTTAGAACAGCGGTACAAGAGCGGCAACTTGGAAGGAACTGGGACTTTGCCATGTAATATTCCAAAAGAAAACCGTGAATGCACATCTCGACTGCAACCTCCATGGTTAAGATGACACAAGAAGAAGAGACTATCGGTTATTCTGAATGTACAAGAATAATCTGAGACAGTTCTCCCAGAGATAACAATTAGTCTCATGCAACAGCCACGTGACAGGCACTAGATGACAGTAAAGAGGTCAATAGGTCACTCAACTGTACCTACATATCATATTTTACTCTTCTCTGGACTCATCATACGCTGGAAGATATTATCCGAGCCTGGCTCTACAAGTGACTGTGGAAGATGGTCAGGAACTAACACAGGCATTTCATCGTCTCCGTCATCTGAAGATGTGGTCATTGACTTTTGATTGATGTCAATGTCCGCGACTGGCTCTATGGGTTCTAAGAGTGGAGGACTGAGTCCCTGGGGAGAATCACAGTTTTCATAACCCTTCTCCTCTGACATCCATTTCTTCTTTTGGGCCATGATATGAACCAGCTGTGTGGACAAATCAGGCAGTCGCAATGTACCAGAAGATGATGTTGAAGGTGTGGGCACTGCTGAATGTTCAAAGGAAGTGGATGATTCGGTTGTGGATGAAGACGAAGACAGTGTCTGAGACTCCGGATGACATGAAGTAGATGATCCAGTAAGGTGGATATCATCTTGTGCTGATAGTACTGTTGACTTATCTTTGTGTTGCAGCTCTAGAGCCCTACAAAATGAGTCTCTGTCAGTGTTACTGTCAGATCTCTGGTTGGTTGTATTCTTGCACTTTCCGTTCTGTTTTGGGAGACCACTGTCCTCCTGTAATGTTAGTTTCTCACCATCTGAGAGCACTTCATTCTCCAATGATTCAGGAAGAGTTGGCCCAGCCACATCTGATGAACTATATGTGGCACTGCTGAGCTGTGCTGACTGCTTAAGAGGTGAGACCTGTTTCAGTTTCTCCAATACTTTGGAAACTTCTTGTGTTGATACTTTTAACTTTTTCCTGGGCAGCTGATTTCTCTCTGAACATGGCGATAGCTGTCTTTTTTGTGACAGCTCTTTTTCAGGATGAGAATGCTGCCTGCTTGAAGATGCTTCCTCTAATTCATCCTCCTTCTGGACAATGGGGTGGGGAGTATCAATCATCTGAGGAGGCTGCGTCTGCTTCTCCTCACTGTTAGACGGCTCCGAGGGCAGCTCAGCTTCAGCTATTAAAGACTTCAAATTTGCATCTTCATCATCGCAAGTGACATCAACTTTGGATTTTTTACTCAATGTATCACTATCTGCCTGTGATGGAGATACTGCCCTCTTCTTTGATGACCTACCAGTTTCAGATGTACCAGTATCCTGCCGTGCAACAGCCTGCTCACCCTCATCCGAGATGGTTTTGTGCTTTGATAAAGAAGGCTCTGTTTCTTCAAGATTCAGCTTTGGCACCAGCCCAACATTGGTTTTGCTGACCCGTCTTTTCCATTTCTCATAAACCGATGATTTTGGTGCCGCTGATTTTGAAGCAGATGATGGTGATGAAGATGATGATGGTGTTCCAGCTGTTGTTGAGGAAGATGCAGAAGACTGAGGAGATGCAGATGAGGTGGAGGCAGTGGTATGAAAGTGCAACCTGTCACTGACCTCTGTGTTCTGTTGGTCTCGAGGTGTCAGGACATTGCAGTTGCTGTCAGCTTTCTGGTCAGGATAGGTTCCACTATACTCTGAGTCTGTTTCTCTAACTTCAAATTCATCACTAAATCTAACCTTTTTAACAGGTGGCAATTTGTCTGAATGCCCTAAGTTATCAATTTTCTTAGCAAAGGAAGCTGCTGTTGGATGAAGATACCTACTGGAATTATAAGCAGGTCGTTTTGCTTGCAAAGCACCCTCACCATATAATGTTAAAGTTTCCATCTTGTTTGGTGCAACATTGAAAACCACTTGTCCTTCAACTATTTTGGTATTTTCATAAACAGTTTCTTCTTTTGTAACTGGAGACTTCAGTTTCTTGGCCAATTTTTCATTGATCTGCCTCAAACGAGCCTTGATGTCCGCAGGAGCAGGTCTGCTACGCTCTCCTTCCTCCTTCTGAGGCTTCAGGCCAGCAGACTTGGCCTTCTCGAGATTGGAATTTGAAGCTCTGACCTGCTCCTCTGTTGGTGTCCTCTGGCCCCCTCTAGCAGCAGGTACTGGAGCTGTGGAGGATGATGGTGACAGCGAAGACTGCTGGGAAGGTTTGCCCAAGGAAGCTGCTTCTTTCAGCTGAAGACCTGCCTGTAGTTTTATTACCTGTCCTGCGGGACTATTGGCCTGGACAATAGTTATTTTGTTTTCTGCAAGGAGCTTTGCATACTCTTCCCTGGAAATCTTCACTATCTTTACTGGTGGTCTGACTGCAGCTGTAGTTAATGGTGCTCCTGCCGTTGCTGCTGTTGGCTCACCTGGCTGTGGTTTCTCTTCAGTCTTAACTTTCTTCACATACTGGTTGATAACCATCTGTGGAAGCTTACGACCCTTGTCCATGATGGGTTGAATAGAGTAGCGAAATTTGGCTCCCGCAAATTTGGTGAGATCCACCTGATGTGGAACACTCGACGACTCAGTCCCTTCAGTTTTCACTTTGCTTGATTTGGGAATGTATGACTCAAAATCATTGGCATCATGGCCAAGTTCACGGCGGTAACTCCATGTCGCCCTTGGCTTCAACTGGGCCTCACTGTCCTCGGGTGCATTTGTTTCCTGTTTAACATTTTCTCCTTGTCTATATTTAAAAAAGAAAGAAACAAATTTGAACAATTGAGAAAATGTGCAACATGACAAACAAGAAAGAACAATACTGGTTATTTAATCAAAGCAAAAGAAATATACCCTCATTTATTACTTGTTAGCCACATCAATATCCTTACACATTGGTTAGACCCATTTGATTCATGCTCTATCCTCCGACTGCATCACAGGAGCAGTTGATTAGTAAGCTTCTTTCTTTTCTCCACAACCGATCTCTGCATGCTTGTGCTCGATTATTACCCATTTTCAACAGACAAGTAATCACTGCTGACTCCTTTGTCTCAACATTTCTGGGAAGCAGAACATTTAGTATGTATGTCCTGTCCCTACATCTTCCTCCACTTACCACTGCAGACATGGCCAATCAATCAGCTCTTTAATTTCCTTTTGCCCCGGCGTCTCCTGGTATACACAGCCAATATCACCCCGGCGTATCCCAGTGAGTACAGGGAAAATATCATCATTCAATCAGGTGCCACCTAGAGGATGAAAACTGACTGAAATGGATCTCAAACTCTTTCCATCTCTTGCCCTGGTTATCCACAACTATGCAACAGGGGAGGCTCCAGTAGCTCAAACAACCCCCCCCCTCCTCGTCCACAAAGAAAATTAGTTAAGTCAAGAGGATCGACTTCATTGCACCGGGTTTTATCCCTTATGGCTCAGTCTCTCTCTACAGAACAGCTAGCCGCCTGCCGAGAACATCGCAAAGAACACGACCCTATCTCCGAAGATGATCCCTAAGGAACTCCGTTAAAACTACACTCATGAACTGAACAGTGCCACCCACGACCTTTAGAGCCTAAGGCAAATGGCTTGACCACTTCATCAAGGAGACTCCCGAAAAGAAAATTAGTAAGGGGGATAAGTGACCCATATGATCATATTCTCTTTCAGGTGTTGTGAACACGTTTCATAATTTGTGAGTGCCGGGGCGATACTAGCTGTTCGTGATTTGGCAGCAGACCACCTTGCGTTGGTTTTGACAGTGGTATCAAGAAATGGCTATTTAGAAAGCAATGGCAAAGTACTAAATGTAAAATTGCCTAGTGAAACAACAAACAGCCAAAAATTGCTACTGTTGGTTCTGTAACATCTGCAAAAGGACAGGCAACTAATTTTTTTTTTTAATGCATTCTATTTTAAATGTATGTTTTATATTTATCAGTATATAATAATAAACAATTTTATTGTGCACTTAAACAAGGTTTAGGACACTTAAAATACCACAGATTCTACTGAATATTCACATTTCTTAAATATTCATTTTTCATTCAATTTTCTAACAGCCAGTTAATGTGAAGAGGCAAAATGAAACACGCTGTGACCACTGGAAAGATTTGTGGACAGAGAGGCGGAGGAAGATAACGCAAGCAGATTCGTGAATGTTTTGTCATGGCATAGAGGTGGCGCCAGCAAATAAGCTGATGAATGCTGCCGGAAGATCTCAGGTTGTGGAGAGGCATGATCACCCACCACAGTGCAAGGCACCTGATGATGATGAGTCATGATGTCTATGTTACAGGTTAAAGTCGAGAAGATTGACTTCACTGCAGCAGGTTTTATCCCATATGGCTGGGCCAATCTCCGCAAACCAGATAGCTTCACGCCGAAAGCGTCGCACAAAGTCTGAACCCTGCAAATCTGGCACCGATCCCCAGGGATCACTATAAAAACTGCACCTGTGAACTGAACGGCAAAGATGTGAAATGAACCCAAAGCGCGAGGCAAATAGTTGTACCACTTCGCCACAGAGAATCTCTATGCTATAGTTGATGATGTGATAAAAAGAACAAAGAGTCAAGATGGTATAATAAAATGAATGACCACCCAAAAATAAAAAATGACAGATCTATCAGCCTGTGAGAGAAAACTTGAAAGGCTAAGCACTAACCCTGCCTTGGTTTTATCCTCTTCATCCTCTGACCCCCATTTCCTGCCCGAAGGGTACAGGATACGACCAGTGGTGTAAGCTTCTGCATCCAAGGCCTGCAAATTCAAAATAATGCAGAGTTACAGTAAAACCATTTTTTCTCTCCAAACATCAATGATGCTAGAAGACATCAGTCAGTCAGTTCTCGTTATGCCTAGTGGCACATGAGGCTTCAGTGAGGACTTTCCATGCTTTCCTGTCCTGTGCGATTTTCAACGCAGTTTTCCATGTCAAAGATGCCATACTCGGTCACTTTCCATTCTTCATCTCCATGTTGTTTTTGGGCGCCCCTTTTTTCCTCTTTCCCTCTGGTATCCATGTGAGAGCTGTTTTGGCAGGTATATCAGGATTCATTCTCATAACGTGGCCAAGCCATTTCCATCTTCTCTTGGTTATCATACTGTCTAGAGTTTCTTGGTTCTAAAACACACACACACACACACACACACACACAAAAGGTTAAAAACTGCATTATGTTTGCCATGAAAAGACAGGACATGTTCATAATTTTAAAAAATGAGGACACAATACATTGTACAATTTATTGCCCGGTATATTTTTTCTGAAGCTCATCAAAACAAGCTTCTTCTTCTTTGTTTACACCAGCTGTAAACTCCGGTAGACAGTTGTGGTTTCTCATCTACTTCAGGAATTTAATCATCTTCTTCTTCTTTGTTTACACCAGTTGTAAACTCCGGTAGACAGTTGTGGTTTCTCATCTACTTCAGGAATTTAATCATCTTCTTCTTCTTTGTTTACACCAGCTGTAAACTCCGGTAGACAGTTGTGGTTTCTCATCTACTTCAGGAATTTAATCATCTTCTTCTTCTTTGTTTACACCAGTTGTAAACTCCGGTAGACAGTTGTGGTTTCTCATCTACTTCAGGAATTTAATCATCTTCTTCTTCTTCTTTGTTTACACCAGTTGTAAACTCCGGTAGACAGTTGTGGTTTCTCATCTACTTCAGGAATTTAATCATCTTCTTCTTCTTCTTTCATCTGAAGATGATACTGCGTTGTGCCCATTCACAGCACAGCTGTCATATTTGTGCCTTTTGGCCAACACATCTGACCTGCTGGCTTTTATTGCCAGTTACTTCCTGGTAGACAGTTGTGGTTTCTCATCTACTTCAGGAATTTAATCATCTTCTTCTTCTTCTTTGTTTACACCAGGTTGTAAACTCCGGTAGACAGTTGTGGTTTCTCATCTACTTCAGGAATTTAATCATCTTCTTCTTTCATCTGAAGATGATACTGCGTTGTGCCCATTCACAGCACAGCTGTCATATTTGTGCCTTTTGGCCAACACATCTGACCTGCTGGCTTTTATTGCCAGTTACTTCCTGGTAGACAGTTGTGGTTTCTCATCTACTTCAGGAATTTAATCATCTTCTTCTTCTTCTTTCATCTGAAGATGATACTGCGTTGTGCCCATTCACAGCACAGCTGTCATATTTGTGCCTTTTGGCCAACACATCTGACCTGCTGGCTTTTATTGCCAGTTACTTCCTGGTGGACTTTAATCTTATTTCAGAACCTAAGTTCTGTGTGCACATCCGCTTTAGAGAGCTGACTTATTTGCACGCAGACTGCTGGTTCCTTGCCTATCTGGCAGATACACTCTAACTTCACAAGAAACCACTAAGTAGTTGACTCTTCTGACATGCAGTGGGTCTGCCCCCCCCCCCCCCAATGGTACCCTGGAACCCACAAGGGAAACCAATCAATCAATCCAGTGCCGTCTCCACAATGAAGGCTGGCTGAATTGGGTCTCCAGGATGCTCTGTCTTTCACCCTGCAGGTACTCTCTCTCAGACTGCTGTTCATCAATCTCTTTCTGTTGCCCTCACACATGTATTGCTGTCTGTCTGCCGCCTGCTCACTTGACTTCAACTTCTCCTTACGGTGTGGTAACAGTGTTTGTGAAGTCTTTTAATATGGCCAAAATATTTCACTTAGTCGCTGGTCTCCTTTGTATGTCCTCCAACAACTCTCCTTAGTACCTCTTAACTACCAGAGTTTTGGGAAATACCATTATGGTCTCATAACTCAGTGAAGGGAAAATCCTAAAGGCACCTCTGCGTGGTAGAGGGTGTGGAACACACCACGGTGTGGCACACACACCTCTCGGGACTGAGTATGAACAGGAATAAGTGGACAACTCTGCAGCTGAGCAGAGCTGGGCACTCGCTTGTCCTGACAGTCGGAAATTACTGTTAAAGATGGAGGTAAAAGACCCCCCCCCCTTCTTGTGGATGTGGAAGGCAAGGGAAACCACCACATTATCTTTCCAAGTATTCACACAGAGTCACAGAATGAGAAGGAGACAAATAAAGCTTTTTGGTCATGCGATAAGAAAAGGATCACTGGAAAATACTGTGACGACTGGAAAGATCACTGGCAGAAGATGCAGAGGCAGACCAAGAGAAACGATGGTGGATGGCTTAAGACAGTGGCACGGAGGAATATCATCAGTGGAATTGATCCAGAACACCAAAGACCAAGATCTGTGGAGATGCATGAACGCCTACGCCAGCTGATAATAACGAACTCTCTTTTTTTAATTCCACGTCTTTTCAAAACCTTTTTTTGTTTCCATGAAATACAACCTATTTTTCTGTATATCTACATCACTAGAGCTTAAAATGATTGTCTAATTTCTTGTTTACTGACCAGATTTCTACACCCCTACAGCAGAGTTGAGTATATATTTGACAATTCACATTTTTAAACAGTTGTTTGTTTACCTTGTTAGGTAAATACTTAAAAACTTACATCACTATACATTGAAACACTTATCAATCTATTATATAATCAAACACAAAGTGCAGTGTAACAATGAACTATGTGATGTGTGTATTTCAATTGAGAAGAGCTATTTATGATCAGTCAACTAATAATTTAACTGACCATTAACTATACTGATATATGTGAACACTTTCAACAACAAAAACATGTATATTTCATCTTATTGAGGTCCTTAATAACTCAACTCAAAACAGTTCCACCAAATGACGATCACAACTAGATTAAGCCTGAAACCCTCCCCCAAACTAACCTCCATATAGTTACTTCTTCTCCTGGCCGGTCGTAAACCCCCAGCAACACCATACTCAACATCATAGCTTGAATCTCCCCAAGTGTCCCGCCGACGCCCTCGGTGGTGAGTGGCAGGCTCTAGGTACACACGGAATGTCCGCCTCATGCTTCGTTCAAATACGCCCTTTAGGTTCTCAGCCATGAACCCAAAATCTGAAACAAAACATACACACACAAAAATTACACACAGGCAGAACATGGCATAAGAAAGGGAAAACTGGAGTACATCACAACAAGAAAACTGGAGGAGAAGAGAGGCAAGTGAAGACAAAGAGGGTGAATCTTCTTCTACTTCTTAGTGTTCACCAGCTCTGATTGTTCATCCGTTTCTGACATGCAAGGAACATGCAGACAACAGTCTGCATACAAACAAGCCAGATCTTTTAAATGGATCTACACGCAAAACTTAAGTTCTGGATCAAGACCAAACTACAGGAGTGGATAAACACCCAGAATCTTTTGCTGGAGTTAGCCAACGAACACTCAAGAAGAAGAAGGATCAAGACCAAAGTTCAGAAGTGGACAAACAACCAGAATCTTTCGCTGGAGTTAACAGCCAGCAAACACTAAGAAGAAGAAGAAGAAGAAGAAGAAGAAGAAGAAGAAGAAGAAGAAGAAGAAGAAGAAGAAGAAGAAGAAGAAGAAGAGAACATCAACAATAAAATAATGGGCTCCCAAGCAGACCCAGCCTTAAAAAAGCATCAAGAAAAGTCCACAAAAGACACAAGAACTGATCTCGCTGAAGCTACAGAGTTTGTGCACCGGTACTAAGATCTAATGCATACCAACAATGTATGGGAACCAGCCAGCAGAAGTCTATAAGGATGGCCGCTGCATCAGAGGACTAGCAGGTCCTTTACAGAACATCACTCTTGTTATGGCACGCCAGAAAATCTCACTCCCTAGCCAATTCTTCTATGTGCTTTCATAGCCAATGCATCTTTAATGTCTTTTATCCATCAGCGCGAAGGTCTGCTTCTGCCCTATATTCCGGAAATCGTACCCTCCATTACCGTTCTCTCCAAATCATAACAACATAACATTGGCATGCCTATAAGCCTGGAACCTCATGCTTTAAACAGTTTTTTTTTTATGGTTCACACGCATAGCATAAGACTTACCACTATCCTTGCCGTGATATTCAATGCAGTTGTCAAAGACAAGGTTCATGTCTCTCTCAAACTGCTCTGTGGATTTATAGCCCCGTTCTGAAAGTTTCTTTTCAATCTGCAGCAGGTCCATGGGTTCCTGGTAGCAGAAACAATAATACTTTCATTAATGTCAGTGAAACAGGAGAGTAACACATAAAACAATGGCTGCAAAATCCCTGTGACTGTTGCATTACATGTGAGAAGGACAATTTCTGATTGCCAAAACAAAAACAGGGGAGACTGCAGTACAAACTGATATCAAGAAGACAATTAACATAATAAATATTGTTAAAGATAATGACATAAGTTAGATTGCAGGATTAACAAGTTTTCTTCTTTGCGTACACTGGCTGTAAACTGGTAGAAAGTGCTGGTGTTCATCCACTTCTGGACTTGTCTTGTTTCAGATCTTGAGTTTTGCGAGCACATCAATTTTACAGATGTGGCTTATTTGTATGCAGGCTGTTGGTTCCTCGCCTCTCAGACAGATGCACTTCGACTTCAAAGCAAATGCCCCTAATTAGTTGACCTTTACGACATACTTGTCAGGGGTACAGTGGGTCTATCCCCCCCCCCCCCCCCCCCAAAGTGTACCCCAGAACTTACATGGGGCACCATTTTCTATCTAGTGCAGGAGTATTTAGTAACAATTAAAAGATATGCTGTATATGTCTTCTTCTGATGAGTGTGTTTTTATCGTGCTTGTAGATCACCCTAGCCATAGTTTTTTTTTTTATTATTAATTTATTTTGCGTTAAGATAATTCTTACCCATTTAGTCAGTGGGGCTAAAAAATACTGGGTTCTATTCATGGTTTTCACCTCATCTCACCCAGCGCGTAATTTCGTAGGGAATTTTCCGAGACAGTCCTACAGTTTAGGGGTGTTATGAATTGCCTTTGTTCCGCATGTACGGCAGTTGTATATATACAGCATGCCGACGAGTGTCTGGACTTTGTCTGACAGGGTCAACACACCCAAAAGTGTGCAGGTTTCTTTTCTTCCAGACAGAAATTGAGCAACACTTTTGCCTGTTCAAGAATTAGGGTTACGGTCAGTGTTGGGGTTATATACAGGAATCTGACAGGTCAAGAAAATTCATGGCAAAAGCCAAGTCTTGAAGTAAGGACGGCACTTCCACATAGGGCAGAGTGAGGACGACAAAACGAACAAGAGTAATAGTCAGTGGAAATTATTACACAATAACGATAACAATCTTGAAAAGAACCAACCCACGACTCTCGCAGAATATAGGAGTTTTAGTGTTTTAACATTAGTGTTAAATGAACAGTGACTAGGACTGACCCTAAACAAAAACCCCCCCCAGACTGTAGGACAGTTTTGGGGAATTCCCTACAAAATCTCTTGCCAGAACAGATGTGGTGAAAAACCTGAACAGATCCAAATATTAAATACATTTCAAGGAATATATTTTGCCTTGAGTTGAGTTAAGAATCAACGTCAGAGAGCACTTTAGAGTTCTAATAAGCATACTATCCCTATCTTTAGCAGCCAGCTAAAAGTTCCAATTATAATGGTTCCAGTAACAGTTTAACCCTCTAGAGATGACAGCCGAAATATCAGCCCAACACAAAATAGCCAAAAGGACGGTTGGGCCGATCGGTCGGCCCTCTGTAATAAAAGCTTCGAGATTGGTTGGCAGGTTTTCATACTAGCCAATCAGATTGCTTCCCTATTTCTTGCACACGTGGGCTGTTTAATAATGACTTTCAAGAAAGTTTAATGTGTTCTGTAACTTCACAGCAATTATTTGTGTGGGCTTACCTGTGCCCATCGCCGTAAAAAGGCCTGTTGCATCATAGCAACCGAAACATAGCAGAAGGTATAAAAATGAGTAGAACCATGTGTCAGAAGTGTTTGCACGGCCTCCACGGGCCTTATTTCCCCAAAACACAAGTCTTAGGACTTGTCCAGGCTCCATCCATAAAAAATTCACCCACATTTTTCAGATTAGTCATGTTTGATCCCAAGTTTTTTTTTTAAGCCTGCATAAATTATGCAAATCATAATAGTTCATTTCAAGAAATGTTGAGATTTCAGTCTGATTCCTATATATTCTGGTAGTTCATTCATTTTCCTCACCGAATATATATAGTTTTGTATATGTTAACTACGCGCTTTATTTTTTTTTTTGTGTGTGTGTGTAAACTTAGAGAATTCTTCCCCGAAGGCTTTGTCTTTTTGGCACTGAAACTCCAAAAAAGCTCCGTCTTCAAAGGGTTAATTATATTTCCTTCTCTCTGAGTGTAGAGTGGGGGCCAGATCCCTTGGTCACTCCCAGCTGCACTATTCTCTCCAGATCATAATCAGCTATTAACACTTCTGCACACTGTTCCCTTTCTCCCAAAGGGCCTTAACCATATCAAGGTAGGCATGCACCAATTTACCACCTAGTGGTACCAAAACAGCCAATCTGTCTGTTTATTTCCCAACACACTTGGGTTTACCAGAGAAAAGAACCAAAGGACACTATGCTTCTCTGCCCCTTTCTTAGCATGTTTTGTGTGAGACAGTTACAATCGCAACATCGGTGTGACTCTGGTTTTCAAGTCAACAGAAAGCTGCTGTGACCACAGGTAGTTTGAATAAGGAGGTCATGGCAGTGAATAAAGCAACAGCTCAGCTAGAAACACAGACCTTCACTGAGGCATGTCTTCTCTCAACTGCTAAGACCGTGGCAAGCCCTTTTTTTTAAGTTTCTGGCTGATATTCCAACATATCTTAAAATAATGTCACCAACAACAAAAGAGAAAAAAGATTTGTGAGAGGCAAGAAGAGATTGCCTACAAGTGTTCCCTGCCATCTGAAGGTAGGTAGATAAGTGAGTCTGTGGTTGCAGTGTGTGTGTGCATTCGTGCGTTGTTGTCTTACTAAAATCCTTACCTTAATTGCATCAAAGAAGTCAGGTGTGTTTACTTCTTCAACTGCCTCCAAGAAGGGCCAGGAATACTCATTCCGCTTGACAGTAAGCAAAACTGAAATGAGAGAGCAATTAAACATTATCTTCAACACAAAACAGGTTTCTCAGTTATCTAAAAGTACAATGGAACATTATCTTTAACAGACTCTAAGTTTCTAATTTTTCTAAAAGTAAAATTAACAACTTTAAACTTAGTTTCTGAGTTTTCTAAAAGTACAATGAAACATTTTCATCAATAAACTTAGTTTCCACTTAGTTTTGTGTTTATTCTTGTGGTTATAAGCAAATGAAATCCCAATCAGGATTTAAACCCAAGATAACTAGGTGATAAGTAAACGCAGCCAGTGTAATACCACTATAATTCTTCTTGTAATAATGATGGTCAAAATCCAGGATTACAAACTGTGTTGCACAAAGTTTTTACAAAAAACAAAAAGAGTTCAAATTAAAAATTTAAAAAAAAATGTACCGATGTATAATACTTAAAACATAAAATTTAACAAAGGACAATTGATGGTCAAAGTATTTAAAATATAAATTCAAGAACATTAAAGATGGCCACAGTAGCTATTGAAACAAAAATCAAGACCAGATGAACACACTAAGCTAAATATGCATCTAAGAATAAGAACAATAAGGATATACTTGGCTAGTGACTATTCAAACTAGGTCAAGCTCATACAACAGAGTTACTTACCTTTCTCTAGGTTGAACTGCATTTCTTCATCAACATCATCTTGATCAATCCTGAGTAAGAAGAAAACATCAATCAACTCTAGTTATCCTTACATGGATTTTGTTTCTCAACAACCATCGCTCGCCGGTGACCCAAATACCAGAAACACTTCCTAGGATGTAATGGTAGCAGTTGTGATTCACCATCATTGAGTGTCAATAAAAAAATATGGTTTGAATCGTCATCTTCTTCTTCGCTTCCTCTTTCACCGCTCTGAGTATACAGCGATGCTCAAATTCTAGGAAGACTTATTTCTACTTCTATTTCTTCATACCACCATCTTAGACCAGCATCATTTCTCTCTTTCTGCCTCTGCATTTGCTGACCTTTCCAGCTGTCGTAATATTCACCAAAATCTCTTATTCATCGTAAATAATCAGCAGGTTTCTTAAAGAATGCTACTCTCCTCATTGCACACTCTGTCTCTGTCCTTTCTTTCTGTCTATTTTATTGTACCCTCCATCACTACCCCCCCCCCCCCACCCCTCCCCCCCTCCCTTCATGATGAGGTTTAACAAAGCCAAAATACCTTAGCTTTCAGGAAAGGATGTCGGCGTCTTTGGCTTGGGCATTGCGAACGAGCTTCGTAATGCCTAGGTGCCGGGTTCGATCCCAGCTGCTGGCCTTGAGTTGGTTTTGACAGTGGTATCGAGAAGACAACCATCCAGATAGCAATGGCAAACTACCTGACATAAGTTTGCCTAGAAAAACCACAACAGCTGGGGTTGGTTCTGCAATGTCCTGTAACGGATACGCAACTAACTAATACCCATGGCATGTGCAAACTATAACGAAAACAAAAACACTGAGCACAGAGACTCACTCTTCCTGTCTGAGACCATTCATCAGCTCTGGTGGGATCTCTTTACCTTCTGCAATTAACCTGGCCCTTTCTTCTCTCAGGCGAGCTCTGTTGGCTCTTTCTGAAAGTCATGAAAACACTATTTGAAATGTGTATGAAAAGCACCATTAGAACATGTACAAAAACAAAACAAACAAGCAACGTGTCTGAAACACAGCACTAGAACATGTCTGAAAAATTCATGTCTGAGAAACACCAACAGAACCTGTATGAAACTTTCAATTAGAAGTCGAGAGGATTGACTTCACTGCACCGGGTTTTATCCATTTGGCTCGGCATCTCTCCAGATAACAGCTAGCTACCTGCCGAAAGCGCTACGTACAGCATGAACTCCGAAGTTCCAGTGGCGGTCCCGAGGTATCTCAGTAAAAATTGCACTCGTAAACTGAACAGCAAAGCCATGGCACAGCCACAGAATGAACCCATGACCTTTAGAGCATGAGGCAAACGGCTTGACCACTTCGCCATGAAGGCCCCATATGGGCAAGACCCTCGATTTTACGGAGATCCCAGAGGATTGTCGCCGGAGATATAGGGTTCATGCTCTATGCGGCAATCTCAGCAGTAACTAGTTGTTCTGCGGAGAGAGAGACTGAGCCATATGGGATAAAACCCAGTGCAATGAAGTGGATCCTCTCGACTTTAACCTTTTCAATTACAGTATTTATATGAACACTGTCAAAACATGAAGGAAAAACTTCATAAAAATATGTAATTAAAAATACCATAAAAACATAAGGAAATGCCATAACAACATGTAATAAAAAAACAATACAAAAACATGACAAACATCATAAGAGCATTACAAAAACACAAGAACAGTGGACACAACTAATGAATAAACTAACTTCTAAACCAGAGTTTCCCAAACTTTTCTTAGTCGCGGCCCCTTTTTTCAATGAAAAATTGTCCACGACGCCCTAACCTAAGTACAAGTATGAGTATTTATGTGTAAAATATAAAATTAATAAAACATGTGTATCTTCGAATATTTTGCCGTGCTGCACAGTTTGGGAATCACTGTTCTAAACTATTAACTCTTTAAAGACGTTTCGCCAGTATGCTGGCAAATAAATGTATCCCTAATGGACGTATCGCCAGTATATTGGCATATGATAGAGACACTCCAATTTTGTTCCGTTTGTGGGGAAAACCAACTTTTATGACCAAGTTTTTGAACAATTAGGATTAACAACAAGAAGTCCTTTCGTTTGCGAAGTGCATCGTGGTTGGTGCTTTATTTTCTGATTTAAAAAAAAATTTATTTAGATGGGATACAATTTTTACATGATTTTTCAACACTTAATGATAAAGGGAAAAGGTCTAAAACTGTTAATACTGATCTGCCCTCTATAAATCTCTGCCAGATGGTGACAACAGTTTTGGATATTATGATTGTGACAAACCTATTGGCGATAATTTAGTTTAGGATATACAAATTGAACAAAATATTTCGATCGGATCAATGTTGTGATCAGCTGTTTTCCAAATTTTAAGCTGTTGTGAAATCTGATGTCATACAAAAATGATCATAACAACCAAAGACTTTATTGAACAGAGAAGGCATGTGCATTCTTAGAATTGGATAGCAGTGTTGTTGAACAAGTAAAAAAAAAAAAAAAGTAAGGTAAGCACATAATTTTTTTTGTCAATAATCTTTATATGTGTCTAACATTCTTGAATGTTGTGTTATTTTAATAATTTGTTGTTGTAATACTGACATTTGAATAGTTTAGATTTATTCTGCACTCATTTATCTTTAATTTGATTTTCGTGTTGCAGTAACAAAATTCGGCTCAAAATGAATGTCCAAACCCCAGAAAAAATGTGATCCTGAAAGAGTTAAGCAAGTGAACTGTGACTAAAAAGCTTGGTGAAATCATGAAGCAAAGAAAAAACGTGCAAAAAATAACATAAATCAACGTTTCGGTCTGAGCCTTTCTCGACATAAACTGAACTACACAACAGTTTAAAAGGGGAGAGTACTCCAACCACTAAAAGGTCAAGTGAGAAACTCTTTAAAAAAGATGATGTGGAATAAATGAAATAAAATAAAGAAGGCTTCAAAAATAGTCCCAAAAAATAAAAAGTAATATTGTTAACATATAATAGTAGGAATAAAAGAGTAGTAGAATTACAACTGTTGATGATCCATAAATGGTACTGACAGGTGATAGAATGAAGTGATAATATAAAATAAAAAAATTTTTAAAAAAAAAAAAAAAGTGACAATATTAAAACTGTTTAGATGAAAGTATGTTGGACATTGATGCCTCCTGGACTAAGAACACCTAGGATGTGGATGAGGCGATTTTCCAAAGTGAGTTGGGAAGTATGATCCCCAGAGCAAGATGTTAATGCTGTGACAGGTACTTCTAAGCCACAGACACTGACCCTTAACCTTTAACATCAATACAAACACAATTAGCAGCAATCAAAAACAGAAGACGTGCGACTTTTTCTATTACCCTCTCTAGCTTTCTCCCGCTCCTCCTTTAGACGTTTTTCTTCTTCAATTTTCATCTGCTGTCGTCTCTCCTCTTCAGCTACAGCCCTGTGCCGCTCCTCTTCTTCCTCTACCACTCTGTGCAGCTGCTCCTGAAAGGCACTCAAACATGTCAAAGATTGGACAATGTCATGTCTACAAGTCTAGCCACATCTCACATTAAATCCAACCATGTTAGAGACAATCTACATTCTTTGGTCATGTGATGAGAAGGAGAAAACTGGGGTGCATCGTGGCAGTGGGAAGGTTGGAGAGGAGAAGCAGAGGGAGACAGAGAGAAGATTCTGGATGGTTTATCAGGGCATGAAGGATCATCTGTGTCAGAGCTGACTGAAAGATCTCGAGACAGAAGGTTGTGAACAGACATGACTACCAACACCACACAGACTTTAAGACAAAGAAGATATTATATTACACTAACAGAAAGGGAAACAATGCTGTCATGTTGAATATAACCTCCTCTCCCCTTCCCCCAAAAAAACACTTTTAAGTACACAGCAATCCTAAGACAGTTTGATATTTACTGAAACAGCACTTACTGCCTGATTTCACCACTTTTTCAATGCAGGCCAGTGGGATTGGGAGGAGGAGGAGGGGGGGAGGTAAAATGCCTGCATGGCTAGCACCGTCAGTCTCTACAGGTTAGAGTTTTAGTTTTGCCCCTGACAAAAAAAAACACAGGCTCAATGAAGCCTCAAACTGGGTCTTCTGTATGGGTGACATCTTTAACCCATTAGCCAACTGCTCCGGAGTTTTGAAATCAATAATATTATCACCTTAATATCATAAATAAAATTTACAAGTATTGACCAGTCTGAGGTAAATAAGATGAAGACATGGATAAGCTGCATATGATGGCAACGAACAAAAGGACTCGCTATGAGTTAGTCGAGGGCCAATGCTCCATTGAGGGGATAAAGTGCAGCAGTAGAAGGAAGAAACTCATTAGCCTAAACAATATTATATTGCTAAAGGAGACTGTAAGCAATGAATAATGACTATAATAATACAATATTTAAACAGTCATGAATGTTATGTAAGGAACTTTATGTTACCAATGTCAAATTTGGACCCTTACTAAAAATTAAATCAATCAATCAGGTGCCATCTCCACAATGCAGGTTGGCTGCAATGGATCTCCAACAAGCCCTGTCTCTTGCCCTTGATGTACACTCACTCATACTGCTGTTCGTCCATCTCTTGATGTTATCCTCCCACTTGTAACGCTGTCTGCCTCTTGCTTGCCTACCTTGAACCTTTCCCTCTAGGATGATCTTTACAATACTGCTATGTCTTTTAATGTGGCCAAAATATTTAATTTGTCTCTTTTTTTTTCACCTAGCCATACAGTAAGGTTGAGAATACATAACATTTGACAATTCTCATTTTTAATGTATTGCTTATTTCTCTTGATGTCAGTAACTTTTACATGTTGTTGAAAATGTTTTTGGTCATCCCTATTCTTTTCTTGACTTCTAAAAATGAGTGACTACAAAATCATCATACAAGAAAAAATCAATTTTAAAATGAAGAAATTAGAAGAGGATCAAGTCTGAAACAAGTCAAGCCGTTTATTAAAGAGCAAACAGATGAGATGGTTTGGCCATCTGACTAGAATGCCCTGTACCAACTGCCACAGAGAGCCAGCCTGAAGAAATACAACAGACAAAAGGGGAAGACTGGAAGACTGCAGAAGATGGAACAATGGCATCAAGAGCAGCCTTAAGGAAATAAAATGAAGACCAACGTTTACAACATATTGAAAGACCACACAGATTCACCCCCCCCCCCCCCCTTTTTTTTTCCCTCTTTCCCTCGACACTGATGAAGTAAGAGGAGACTAAGAATAAGAAGAAGAAGAATTATGCTAGAATACTGTAACATCTGCATGCCTCTTATAAAGGCCTAAAGAAAATCAAAGAGATGTATAATTCACCAACCACAAGAGGTGTCTAAGGAGGACTGGATTAAGAACAGCTACCTCATTATTTATAAAACTACCGCTGTATTGTCTAACCAACCAATTAACAATTTAAAAACAGTCAGCATTGAGATGGTTCAGAGCCTATGCTTCGCCTGGAGATGAAAGGCCAAAGATGGTGAAAACAGACACTTACTTTCTTTTCTTCTTCCAATTTCTTCAGTTCCAGCCTGTAGGATGACCTTCGGGGAAGCATTTCTTTGGCTCTCTTTTCTCGTGCCTGTATCTGATCATATTTATGAAAATATGACACTTACACAGCAGTCCAATATAAGAATGTGTTACATTTACACCAGCACACATTTTTTTTTTCATGAACTGAACTCAGTTTACATTTCTCAACCCTTTTTTTGTTCTTTACAGGAAATTGACATTTCTTTTTTTTTTTTGCTGAAATTGACATAACTTTACAACATCATCATCTTCATGTAGCAGGTCCTGTGCAGAACGTCGCTCTCATCACAGTCTGCCTGAAAGAAACTCGGTCTCTCGCCAGTTCTCCCGCCTCATGTGCTTTCATACCCAAAATCAAGTCTTATATCCTCTGTACATCGTCGTGTTGGTCGGCCCCTGCCAAATCCTTCCTGGCACTGCACCTTCTGCTATAATTTTTTCCAATCCGTCGTGGCGCTTGATATGACCAAAATATTTCAGCTTCCGAGACAGGATGCTGTTTATTAGCCAATCTTCCTTGATGTTCAGATTTTTCAAGGTGTCAGTATTTCTCCTCTTCTTTGTCCAAGATATTCTGAGAATCTTTCTATAGCATTTCAGCTCAAAAGCCCCTATTCTCTTTCTTAAGGACTGAAAGAGATCCGTATGTAGCTACAGGTGAAATGATGCATGCTCTCTTTACAAACACATCACTAAATTAATATTTTCTCTTTCTTAAGGACTGAGAGATAGTCTACAACACACATCCGTATGTAGCCACAGGAAAGATGCATGCTCTCTTTACAACTTTACAACAGGGTCACTAAATTAATATTTTTTATCTGAAGTGTTATATGCCAACTACTGTCCCGATCACATGTTGCATAATTATAAAAGGAAACAACAGGCTGAGACTAAAAGCTTTTCTGAACATGCCATACAATAATCTATAAAATAGTGAACCTGGGTCACAGGAATATCAAGTCTCTGTTCAAACATAAACAAATATTTTTTGCAAGCCTCATTTTAAAGCTAAGTGATTGTAATGTATGTATTTATTATTCTTTGAAATGATCACTGTCCATTTGTTTGTGTTGCATGCTGATGAAACCTTTCCAGCTGCAACATTCATGTTAGTTCATTATTTAGTTGAGAACAGGGCACTCCCGAGTTGCTCTGTTCATATGCCTTGAAAATCCCACAAAATACTTTGAACTGTTCAATCTAACAAGCATGTTCTAGGGGGCCAATAGTTAGGGGTGTACATCTGCCTGACAGGCAAGAAACTAACAGTCTGCACATAAATTAGATGTGTAAAATGGATGTGCTCGCAAACCTCAAGTTCTGGATCAGACAGAGTCCAGGAGTGGATAAACAACTAGAACTTTTTGCTGGAGTTTACAACCAGTGACAGCTAAGAAGAAGAATACATAACTACCAGAAATGAGGAATAAGCATCTCAGTCACCGCACTGAAATAGCTTCCCCAACACCAACTAATCCGTCTTTACCATTTTACCATTTTTACACTCAGTCATGCATCAATACCAACAGGTTACAAGACAATAACATTTTACTGTAATTTCTATCACACTTTTAGCTCTTTTAGCATTTACCATAACAGTGGAGGCTGAGGAGGTCAAGAATCTGCAGATTTATGGCCTGGAGGCTTGTGCAGCTAAGAGTAATGTCAATCACAATGTTTATTTTTGTCATTTTTCTCAAGGGGGTCAACAATTTACATGCTTAGCTAGCCACTATTCTATGCAGTGGGTGGAGGAACGAACTGAAACCTTAAAGGTGTGATAGAAATTACAATAACCATGCCACTGTCAATATTGGTGGTGAGGATGTGTAAAGGAGTGTTAAGTATATGACAACACACTGCAGATGAACACGATGACATCACAATGACAGTTTAAAGATGACTGTCCCACTTTTAACATGCACCAGAGGAGCAGCGCTCCATTAGCGGAATCTTTTTATATATATATTTTTTTTTTTTTTTTTTAAATCAGTGAAGGGTGAAACCTACAGAAAGTCATCGGCAAATGATGATCCAGCACACAGTGATGTTTGCCTGTCTTTCCAGCTAGTAATTCCAGTGAATTGTGACTAAAAAGCTTAACAAAACAGGGAAGCAGATAAACTTTCTTTTTTCCAAAGCTTTTTAGTCACAATTCACTGAAATTCCTTGGTATTAGCTTGACTGCAGTCACCCCCATATTTTCAGTCCAGCAAGTGTATGAATGGATAATGAAGTTTCAAAATGGCTACATTCAACACTGGGGCTGGGGTCATTACTCAGCATGCCTGACCCAGTTATGAACAGAAGTCATGCATCAATACCAACAGGTTACAAGACAATAACATTTTACTGTAATTTCTATCACACTTTTAGGTTTTCATTCAATGTCCTCTCGTATAACTGTAAAATGGATATAAACACTCACCTTGTCAGCCATGATAGCTGGTATTTCCGGAAGAAAATCATTCTTGATAATGCGGTACAGGAGCTTCTCTTTGTAAATACTTGTCTCTTTTAGCTCAGCAGCCAGGGTCTCCCAGTCTTCAACAGTGTCGCACACCAACTGCCAATGACTAAGACCAGCTAGCAATGGTCTCTCGTCGCCATACAGTGAAACACTTTGACAGACTTCATCTTTAGGCTTTTCATCCTCTACAACATTGCTGACAGAGGACTCCTTAGGATGTAAGCTTGTTTCCTCTTTAATCTCCTCCTTAGGCTCATCTTTGACTTCATCTGTGATGTCTGCATTGGCTTCAAATTCAACATTTTCTCTTAGTTGTGTCTCATTAGCTCCTGAATTCTTTTTCAAGCCATCCACAGCAGATGCATCAATATAACTTTGTACACTTGACGCAGCATTTTTAACAAGTGTCTCTGCTTCTGTACTGCTGATATCTTGTTCTTTTCCATCAGAAATCAAGGCTTCATTCTGTTTGTCATTGTTAAGAAGAAGAGTGTCAGGTGCTGCAGGGTCAGTCAACGCTGCAGTATCTTCATCCTTACTGTCACTGGGTAGCTGGGTTTGAGCATCGCCAGCAGCACTAGTTAAGCTTACATTGTTCTCTACCTCATTAATAACCTGACTTTCAGCAATGTCACTTTTTTCTGACTGGATGACGACTTCACTGTCCAGCATGTCATTTTCTTTAGCTTGGATGACGACTTCACTATCCAGCATGTCATTTTCTTTAGCTTGAATGATAGCTTCACTGACTAGCATGTCATTTTCTTTAGCTTGGATGACAGCTTCACTGATCAGCATGTCATTTTCTTTAGCTTGGATAATAGCTTCACTGACTAGCATGTCATTTTCTTTAGCTTGGATGATAGCTTCACTGACTAGCATGTCATTTTCTTCAATAATGGCTTCACTTTCTAGCACATCATTTTCATTAATCTGGGTAACCACTTCCCTTTCCAACATGTCACATTCTTTTGTTCGGAGGATTTCACTTTCCAACATGTCACATTCTCTTGTTCGGAGGATTTCACTTTCCAACATGTCACATTCTTGTGTCTGAGAGATTTCACTTTCTAATTCTTGTGTCTGAGGTATTTCACTTTCTGATTCCTGTGTCTGAGACATTTCACTGTCCAACATGTCCCTTTCTTGTGTCTGAAGGATTTCACTTTTCAACATGTCACTTTCTTTTGTTTGTGAAACTTCACTTTCCAACATGACCCTTTCTTTTGTCTGTGAAACTTCACTTTCCAACATGTCACTTTCTTTTGTCTGTGAAACTTCACTTTCCAACATGTCACTTTCTTTTGTCTGTGAAACTTCACTTTCCAACATGTCACTTTCTTTTGTCTGTGAAACTTCACTTTTCAACATGTCACTTTCTTTTGTCTGTGAAACTTCACTTTCCAACATGTCCCTTTCTTTTGTCTGTGAAACTTCACTTTCCAACATGTCACTTTCTTTTGTCCCGGAAACTTCACTTTCCAACATATCACTTTCTTTTGTCCCGGAAACTTCACTTTTCAGCATGTCACTATCTTCTGCCTGGAGGACTTTCCTTTTCAAAATACTATTTTCTTTTGTCTGCGGAATTTTACTTTCCAATATGTCATTTTCTTGTGTCTGGGGCATTTCACTTTCCCACAAAACTTCAGCCTGTTTTTTTACTTCTGTTGTAAGCAGATCTTCAGTCTGGTTTATGATTCCATCTTCTGGGATGTTTACAGTCTGCTTTATTACTTGACTTTCCAAGACTACTTCGGTCTGGTTTATGATTCCACCTTCTAGGATGTTTTCAGTCTGCTTTATGACTTCACTTTCCAAGATTACTTCGGTCTGGTTTATGACTTCACTTCCCAGCATATCTTCAGTCTGGTTTATCACTTCATTTCCCAGCAGGTTCTCAGTCTGATTTATCACTTCACTTTCTAGCATATCTTCACTCCGGTTTATCACTTTGCTTCCAGTGACTTCAGTCTGGTTTATCACTTCAGTTCCCAGCAGGTTCTCAGTCTGATTTACAACTTCACTTTCTAGCATATCTTCACTCCGGTTAATCACTTCGCTTCCAGTGACTTCAGTCTGGTTTATCACTTCAGTTTCCAGAATGCCTTCAGTCTGGTTTATAACTTCACTTCTTAGCATGTCATCGGTATGCTTTATGACTTCACTTCCCAGCACTCCTACATTCTGGGTAATAACTTCACTTCTCAGGATGTCATCAGTCTGGTTTGTGACTTCCCTATGCAGCAGGTCTTCAGTCTGGTTTTTGATTTCATTTCCCAAACTATCACTTTCCTCTGTCAGGGTAAGTACTTCATTTTCAGTTTGATCACCTGTTTCAGACACTGATACTCTAGGAATCTCAGGCTCATAAACATCACTCACAGCCTGCTGCCAGTAACCCTCTGACAAGTCATCACATTCCTCCGCTCTAACAGACTGATCAGCAGCAGAAATTATTGCAGACAATGTTATGCCAGTTTGCTTTACAGTTTCTGACTGACAATCTGAAGATTGACTTGCCTTGACAACATCAGTGTTTAGACTTCCATTAGACTTGGTCAACTGGGAACTGTCAGAAAGAGGTGCACTGTGCCAGTTTGATTCACTGCCATCTTCATCCTTAAAATCTGCTTCTTCAACTTTCTCCTCTAGACCAGCAACAGAGTTATTAACAATTATATTAATTATCTCAGCACATAAGACAGACAACTCTGCCTCAAAAGGTCCTTTTTCACCACTATGAGTTTTGATCACTTCTGTTTCACTAATTTCAATACCACTATCAGCTATTACCACATCAGTATCACTAATTTCAATACCACTGTCCGCCTTCTCTACCTTTGTCCCATCAGTATACATCTCTGTGCCAGCTATTTCCTGAGATATCAAACCTTTTCTTAATGTACCCCCCTCAACAGCACACTTACAAACATCACACGTGCAGTCTGGCAACAAGGTACAGGAGTTTTCATCAACATCCATCTTCTCATCTTCCTTAAGGTCAATGTTCATACAGACACCACCATCCTCCAACATTTCTACCTCTTCTGCCAACTGTCTGCAACTGTTAGATACTGTGTACACATCTGCTTTATCAATCATCTGCTGCTGTCTTATTTCTGTTCCAGGCTGGCAAAAATCCATAGATGCATTCTGTGGACTATTATTTTCAGGTCCTAAACAACCCTTGATGCTCTTATCTCCACCACCTAAGCACTCAACTCCTACATTATCAACAGATGTAGCTGAGCTTCTACAGCTCAAGTCCACAGCATTGTCAATTTTGCTGGTGTCATTACCACAGATGCGCATGCTGAGCTCTGGATTTCGTTCCTCAGTATTACAAGAAACCTCTGAGTTAGGGCCTCACCACTGTCAGTCCTAACTGATGAGCCACCCTGGCGTGTCTCAGTGTTGCTTTTACTCATCTCAGTGTGGTTCTGGGTGTTAGAATCCCCCCGACTTGCCACCGTATTGCCTGCAGTAGTTTGAGGAATGCTCTCCCTGGTCTCAGAGTGGTTCTGATGTGCCCCAGCTGATGAACCATCACAACTTGTGCTGTCTGCTGTGGCATCAGCTTCTCTACAGTTGCTAACCATCTTGACTGTTGCATCAACATCTGTCGCAGAAACTGCATCCTTTCCATCAGTGTCAGTTGTTTTGTCACAGTCATCTGCCACAATGGCTGCAAAACCACCCCTCTCAGTTAACATGGCTTCCGATACAGACGCTGCATCGCTGACTGCTGTAATAGGGCTGTATGTGACAGCTGCTGAATCACATACAGTCTCATCTTTTGTAACTTTAATATGTGCCACAGAAACCGCATCACTGACTGCTGTCACTTCATTATTTGTCACTACTGCTGCATCACCAACAGTCTCCACTGTTGTAACTTCAATATATGCCACAGAAACCGCATCGCTGACTGCTGTAACTTCATTATTTGTCACTGGCGCTGCATCACCAACAGTCTCCACTGTTGTAACTTCAATATGTGCCACAGAAACCGCATCGCTGACTGCTGTAACTTCATTATTCGCCACTGGCGTTACATCACCAACAGTCTCCACTGTTGTAACTTCAATATGTGCCACAGAAACCGCATCGCTGACTGCTGTAACTTCATTATTCGTCACTGGCGCTGCACCACCAACTGTCTTCACAGCTGTAACTATATCGGTCACAGATGTTGCATCGCTGACTGTAAGAACTTCTGTCACAGCTGTTGCATTATCATCTGTTGCAGCTATTTCTTCATTTTCTGACATGCATGTTGCATCACTACTGACTGAATGATATGCTGTTATTTCATTGCCTATTTCAGCCGATGTCAAACCATTGTCCATTTCAACCAACTCAACATCACATGGCCTAGTTTTAGCATCACCAACAAATTTCTCTGGTGATACTTCATTACCACATGTCACAAATGTAGCATCGTCATAATTTCTCTCAGCTATTACATCCCCCTCATTCTTTTCAGCTGTCATATTGCTGTCAACTGCTTCAAAGCTCAAATCGGCACATATCGCCTCAGGTTGATCACCTAATCTCCTCTGCTCATCACTTGCATCACTGCCACCTTCATCTCTTTTGCCATCAAAACTTGTTTCACCTGGGATTCTCATCTCAACTTCCCTGCAACTACCTGTTCTACCTGTTCTACTTATGCCTATTTGAACAATGCCACTGTCAGTCTCCGTTTGTTTATCCCCAGTTAACATTTCAACACAACCATCTACTGCTCGCTCCTGTACATCAGCACTTCTTTCAGCCAAGTCTGCGTCATGGTCTAGTTTCTGAGACAGTACCTCGTTTGACTTTTCATAATTCTCCCTCCCCACAAACCGTTGCTTTCCATCAACAATCATTTCCTCTACAATCAAGTTAGATTCCTGCAGCTGTTTGTCACATTTTGGCACAGGTGAAACGGAAACTGGTGGCTGGTTTGTATCCAAGTCGGAAGAATCCATGGTCTTTGAAGTGACCGCTGTCTTCAATTCAACCGTGTCACAGCTGGAAGATGTTCCACTGGCAGACGTGATATGTCCTTGAGCTGATACAGTGGTTACTGTTACCGGCTGCTGATCAGTTTCCTGTGCAGCTGGTAGATCAGAGGGTGCAACAGCTGCTTCTGATGATTGATCTCCAGCAGCCTGTTCACTTTGTACTGACACAGCTCTCTCTAGCGATGGATTACTGGACACTGGAATGATAGGGACATTCGTATGATGTTCAGGAAACTCTTGACCAACATAGTTCTGACCACTCTCTGTAGTAAAGGATGTTCTTTCAGTGATACCTTCTATAAGATTTCCACCGTATGACTGCTCACTGAGATGCTCTTCAGCATTACTGCTGTCTGCAACAGAATCACCTCTGGGAGATTGACTGCTGAAACCTGAACTGGACTGCTCATTGCTTGCAATTTCCACATTATTAGAGTTACATGTTAACTTTATTTCAAACTTTGTATTACTTGCTGACAGACCGCTGCACTTTACTTCCACATTAGTGTTATCTATTGATTGTTCACCCCTGTTAGCTTCCAGATTAGTATTATAGGTTGACTGTTTAAAACCATCAACTTCAACCTTTGTATCACTGTTAATATCCACAACAGTGTCAACCATTAAATGCTGACTGGTGGTAATTTCTTCATTGCTGATTTCTGTTTCCAAAGTGACTGACTCTGGAATAAAATCCACATCCATAGGTGTTTCTTCTACTGTCTTCAGCTCAAAAGTAGGAGCTGTCTGTTTTGGCAATACTGCATTATGTGACCCATTACTATGTAAAGTATCCTCATCTGTACACCGGCCAGGTTGGTCTTCCTCATTAATGTCTGAATGTGTTTGCTCTCCTCTCCCTGTCACACAAACAGCATCCTCACTTGTGGCATCCACTTCCATTTCTTCATGGAGAGAATTCTGCTGCACAAGTTCACCAACCCCAACATTCAGATGCTCCATCTCAACGTCTACATTTGACAGAGAATTAGCAGTCAGTCCAGGACCCAAATGAAGTGAGGAGACAGCAGCCTGCTCTGTTACCTGTTCGGATGCACTATATAATTTCACATTATTCAGATCTGAACCTGGCACTTCCGATGGAATGACAGGTTTGAGTGAGGCTGGATCAGGTCTTGTTTCTAGATCACCAGAATTGCTAGAGTCGACTTCAGAATGTGTGGTAACAGAACTTATCATGGGGCTACTTTCTGCAAGAGAATCGGCATCAGTACTTGAAGCACAGACTTCTGTGGCAACATCTTCGGCTGTCACCGATAAGTCACTACTTTGTACTGCAATCATATCCAGTTTTGTTTCAGTTCTTGGTGCGATTTCAGACACAAAGTCTGTTGTAACTGTACCTGCGTCTATTTCAGCTGTTGGTGCTACTTGAGATACAAAGTCTGTTATAACTGTACCTGCTTCTATTTCAGCTGTTGGTGCTACTTGAGATACAAAGTCTGTCGTAATTGTACCTAGTTCTATCTCTGTTGTTGGTGGTGCTCCTGGAGACACAAAGCCTGTCATAAATGTACCTGACTCTATCTCTGTTGTTGGTGCTACTTGAGATACAAAGTCTGTTATAACTGTACCTGGCTCTATTTCAGCTGTTGATGCTACTTGAGATATAAAGACTTCTGTAATTGTATCTGGTTCTATCTCTGCTGGTGCTACAACAGAAGCAAAGTCCTGCAATATGGTTGAACCATCTTCTTCCTCCATGGATGCGTGATCACTCTTATGAGCTTCTTCCTGACTATTAACACCAATGACTATATCAGTCATTCCTGGTGGGGCCCTCCAGTCTCCCTCATTCAAGTTAACTGACCCTTCTCTTTGTGTATCTCTTATGCACTGGTCATTCAATTCAACTGGCTCTTCTCTATCTACATCTGATATGTAACCCTCATTCCAGTTAACTGACACTTCTCTCTCTACATCTTTTGTGCATCCCTCTTTCAAGTTAACTGACATTTCTCTTTCTGCATCTCTCACGTCTGTGAGTTCCAAGTCAATGATTCTTTCATCCTCATCTGCTTCTTCTTGTGTGCTTCCAGTAGAAACCAGACAAGCAGAAGAACTTCCAATGCTGCTTACTAGCTTCATTCCCTCCTTGCTTACTTTCTTATCATCATGTTCATCCTTCAACACTTCTTTATCCTGACTACAACTATCTTCAACGGCATGTTCTGGTTCTGTACACACAGCTGTTTGACTTTGTAAATTCTGAGGATTTTCACGCTCAGATATCTGCCCTTCCAAATGGTGCAAGTCATTTGCACTTTGTTCTGTTTCTTTCTCCTGGTTGCCTTTAGGCACACTTTTTTCTTCTATGCTTCCTGATATCAGTTCAGATGTACTTTCTTCTTTGCATTCCAACTTGATCTCTAATTTTGCTGTCCTCCTCAGCAGATTCTAACATCTCTTCATCATTATAAATAACACAACTTTTATTCTGCCTTCTCTGTGGTGTAGACTTTCTTCTTGAGCTTCCCCTCTTGACATTTCGACCCGCTTCTGGAGTTTCAGATGGCTTACTTTTAGACGACTGGAGAGCAGATTGAACTCCAGATCCTTGGAGACTCTGGCTATCCAACTCCGGCTGACTGTTGCCCCCAGTAGCACCAATGATTTGTGTGTCACTACTTTTCTTGCTACTTTTCTGTTTAGATGAAGCCATGTCCTCACTTCTTTTAGCTGAAATGTCCACCTCTGATCCCTCTAACAAATCAGATTTGACTGATGCATCCTTAGCTTTCTGACTTGCAGTTCTGCTCCGTCGAGTACTCAACTGATTATGAAAACCATCAACTGTGAGCCGTTTCAGTTCTGACTGGGGTAAGTTTGGGTCGAGTATCACCTCTGTTTCGACATCCTCTTTCATTCGCCGCCGAGATCTTCGTGTAGGTACAGGTGATGATTCTTGAGTTTGCTTCTGGCTTGAGGAATTGTTCAACTTTGACTGCTCTCTGAAATTAGATACATCCCGTTTCAAAATGCTAAACAACTACTGTTAAAAATTAATATAGGGTCTACTTAACTTAGGATTCAGTTTTATTCAAACAGGTCTAATTCAAACTGGCGGTAAGATGAATTTATATTTGTCAACACTATTTTAATTCAAACGAGTTACAAACAATATACACAAAACACACATACTGGGAGGCCTGCGGTTCAAAACAGTCTGGTCCAACAGCCTTTGACGTCCAGAACCTGCTACACTATGGGCATCAGTTCCAGGAACATTTGGACCATACTAGTGTGGTCATCTTTTTTATTTACTATTTTTATTCATCTTTTTGCGTGTGTGGTCCCAAGTGTAGATGGTCTAAGCAACTTAGGTCATAAGTCAAGGAGAAGGTGCAATACAAAACCAATTTCCCACAAAAAGCTGTGTCTTACTACAACTACCTCGGACGAGCTGTGGTAGCACAATGGCTGCTACACTCTTGCCTGGAGCCTGAAAGCCTTAGGTTCGATTCCAACACAGGGCTTTTATAATTAATCAAGAGCTCCCTGGTCAATTCAGCCTAAAACTAGCACCAGGCATGGCTTTCTTCATAAGGAGTGACCAGGGGATATGGCCTATTTATTTTAAAAATATGTTAATTTTCCGTGTTTGTTAAATATAGACTGGGAAACTAATTTTCAAACAATGTTGCCTTTGACTCAAAGCGTGTTTTTTTTGGGTCCAAATTAGCCTCCCCCGACACTTCACTAGATCAAAAACTAGTTGTTGATGACAGAAACTGTAAACTAAGACGGCTTACGGTCAAGTTTGGTTTGGGTCGACACGGATGCCAAGGTTAATTAAAAATCGTCCCTTCGGAGAGGGAGAGATGACTAGTGCGGGTTTTTATTTCCGCTATTTGTAAGTATAGTGTACTTCTTTTCAATCACGGAATATTACTGTGGGTTCCACCACTGGTTAGGTAATGGAGCTTTTATGTCGGGGGCACATGTAAACTAAACAGTACGTGGTAATAATATGCGGCGCCAACTCCTCTGGCTACAACGACCTGTACAGACAGTAGTGACCGTTTTGTGTTGTTGTTGTGACGGTGGTGGTGGTAGTGGTAGCAGTAGCAGTAGTACTGATGGATGATGTGGTAGCTGTTACACCGGCCACATTTACTTCTCAGTACAGATTAATGCCACCCATTTTAGTCTGGGTGGACACGGATGCCAAGCTCAATTTAACAACACCATTTGACTTTCCCATACTTCTTAGAGGATGATTTGATTGTCACGAGGGGGAAGAGTTGATACCAGACACAGTTAACTGAGAGAGCTAAAACATTTTTTTAAAGTTCTCATTTCTTAACTATTTTTTATTTTAACAATGTCGCCACGTGATAATTGTTTAATAATTCTGAGAGGGAGATATGATTGGGGAAGAGGGGGTGTGGGCGGGGGGTTATGACAGACATTGTTAGTTCAGAGAGCTTATAACTTTATTTTACAGTTCTCATTTCTTACATATTTATATTTTAATACCGCTTCCTCGGCTATTCTCATTATTTTTGTTTGGTGCCAGTTTGTTGGTCAGCTAGAGGTATAGCAGTCAGCTTTACATTTACCTGTTTAAGCACAACAGATAGCCTCGATAAACACATAATCTTGTTTTCTCTCTCTAACAGTGCACTTTATTCAACCACTAATATCGACATTCACTAATATGTTGCGTTTTCTAGAGTCGGCATATCAGACTTATCTCTGTAGCTGTGCAATGACTGATATTAACCATATTAGACAGGTGCGCTTTCTATTTCCTTTCTTTTCCAGTTTACTATTCTGCGCCAAAGCAACACGTGGCCGGGTACAGCTAGTGCTCAATAAGCAGGGAAGGGGCAAGATAGACATACAATCGGACTGTTACCGATAGAATTGGACTTGGAACTGTGTGCCGAATGCCCCTAGTGCTATGATGTCTGTTCCTAACTCATAGTCGTAGTTAAAAGAATGTCTTCAAAGTTTGCTTAACAGTAATTCCAGATACATTTAATTTTCAGAAGCTGACATCCTCCCTGTGCGAGTTCCGGGGGAAAACTGAAAAGACCTAGCGCCTTTCTAATAAACATGACGTAAAAAGTCGATTAATTTGGTGTGTGCTTTGAAGTTTGAGTGCACCAGATCTGTAAAACAAATCTGCACACAAAACTCAAGTTCTGGAACGAGACTTGTCCAGAGGTGCACAAACAACCAGAGCTTTCTGCCAAAGTTTACAGTTGGTGAATACACAGAAGAAGAATTTGACATCCAATAATCAGACAAAAGATAAAAGAAAACACATTGCCACTAAATAAACATAGAAAACTACAACAGAGAATTTAAAAAAACCTACTCAAGTGTTTCAAATTCTGTCTTTGGTTCCTTTCCCTGGCTTCTGGACCTTGATCTTTCACTTGCTCCTTTTCTTTGGCTTCTGCTGCCTGATCTTGACCTTTCAACTGTTTCTCTGCCTTGACTTCTGCCTGACCTTGGTCTTTCGCTCACTTCACTGCATGTCTTTGAGCTCTCACTCACATCCTGGTCTTGAGCTCTACCGCCTGACCTAGATCTCTCCCCTGCTTCTTCTTTGTCTTGACTTCTGCTGCTTGACCTCGACCTTTCACCTGCTTCTTTGTCACGACTTTTACTCCTGCCACTTGACCTCAAGGTTTCATTTGTTTCTTTTTCTTGACTCCGGCTGCTTGATCTAGATCCTTCTTCTGCTTCTTCTTGACCTAGACTTTTGCTTTCAGCTGCCTTTTTCTTTTGGCTTCGGCTTCTTGACCTCGACTTTCCACCCGTATAATAGGATCTTCTCTTCCGACTTTTGCAGACAGTTTCAATAAATTTACTGGAAAAGAATAAACACATCACGCATTAATAATACTTATATTTTTTTTTAAACTGGCATAAATGTCATTGTTGCAAAAAATATATAAAATAAAAACTTAGCTTAAAAAAAATAATGAATTAATTAAATTAGCCAAGAGCTAACACCACACAAGTGCTCTGTCCTTGTCTTCAGTAGCCAAAAGAGAGTAGCTATGTTGGCAGTGGCAACCTGACTGAAAAACCAGACCAAAGACAGAGAGAGGTTCTTAAACTTGGGAGTCAGCTACTAGAAGTAGCACTGCAGAGTAGGATAATTTTGGAAAGATTTAGCTCACTTAATAAACATAAAAACAGATAGCTATTCTAGTACAACCACAACCAGTTCTTTGGTATATCTACATTTCTGGGGCCACTTAAACTTTTATTTACTGCTGGAGAACCCAAGATGTGCAGAAGCATGATTGCCCATGCCAGTCAGCAGTACACTTGATGATGATGATGCAGTTGCAAATTTTGGGAGGCAAAAAATAAACTAACTGTAATCTATCATACATGTCATAGGAGGCATTTGAGGAAGGTTAACGTGAGACTGGCTCTCTCATTCCTTGAAAATGATTATTCGCAAAATAAAAAAAATGATGAACAGTTTGTAAAGGGTCTGGTGTGTGTTGACAGATGGCCACTGGTAATGAAAGGCAGACACAAAATGCCACCATCAGTTGTTTCAGTTGGTGTCTGGCCGAGATTTGTGACAGTCAACATTTCAATGCCGAGTACTGGTTAGCTAGTCAGCCACAGTTCCAACAGGTCACCCCACAACTGCTCCATTCTTGTGCCAGTCTGGGCAGTAAGCTACTGTATGATATAGCACATGTAGGGCCGAGATTTGTGACAGTCAACATTTCAATGCCGAGTACTGGTTAGCTAGTCAACCACAGTTCCAATATTGTGTGGCAACAGGTCACCCCACAACTGCTCCATTCTTGTGCCAGTCTGGGCAGTGAGCTACTGTATGATATAGCACATGCAGTGAAGATTCTATGGGATCAAATGGACAGTGCAATAGAACAGATAGGGAATCCATACACTGAAAGACGAATTAGTCTTTCAGTGTTTGGATTCCCTATCTGTTCTTTTGCACTGTCCTCCTCTACGCAACCCTGTGGAATTAGGGTTGCAGAAAGGAGGAACCCACAGGGGCATAGAAATAAAGGAAGACACACAAAAAACATGGAGAAGGGAGCTAGAGAGTGAGATTAAAAAAATATGGGGAGGACATGGGGAGAGCTGCATGCGATAGCGAAGGATAGAACGACTTGGCGTGAGCTGGTTAAGGGTCTATGCTCCACTGGGGGTCAGAAAGGCAGAAGAGATGAGTAGACGTTCTGGAAGATATTAAACACTGAAGGGGAAACAAAGGCGGACTTTTAATCAGGTTACAAGTGATACTATTAGCATGTCAACTTTTCTCTGGTTACTGAAGAAAGGGAACCAAGCACATGTGGGAATTTCCCCAGTGCAGTCATGTCAGTTTTCTTCTTCTTCCGAGTGAGCCTAGTGTCTAGTGAAACTCCTGCCCCTCCCCCTCTCCCAGAGTGGGTAGATCTATAGTGGTTGATTTTCTAAAAAAAAATTATATTATTTGTTGTGTGGATGAGAGAAAATATGCTGTTCCAATGAGCTTTGTTTGTTTTAGTTTTAGACTGAGCCTCTGTGCATGTGACAGAAGACGGTAGCATTGTCTCTGTTATCATTTAATGTTGGATGGCTTAACCAAACCTGTCATCCCAAACTGTGCCAATGACTTCAGGTGGAGAAGTACACAGGGGAGGAGACTAACATTATTTATGCTAGAACAAGGAAATGTAATCTGAAAATAGTTATGATAGGGACCGTCCCGGTGCCCACCAGAGAGCTGTAGTGCCCATTTTGAGAAACACTGATCTGAACTTATCTAATTAAATATTATCAGTAGCTAACAATGACAGTCATCAAGAGCAGCTAACACTGCCAATCATCAAGCAGCAGTTAACAGTGCAATTATCATGCAGCTGTTAACACTGTCAATCATCAAGCAGCAGTTAACAGTGCAATTATCATGCAGCTGTTAACACTGTCAATCATCAAGCAGCAGTTAACAGTGCAATTATCATGCAGCTGTTAACACTGTCAATCATCAAGCAGCAGTTAACAGTGCAATTATCATGCAGCTGTTAACACTGTCAATCATCAAGCAGCAGTTAACAGTGCAATTATCATGCAGCTGTTAACACTGTCAATCATCAAGCAGCTGTTAACACTGTCAATCATCAAGCAGCAGCTAACACTGTCAATCATCAAGCAGAAACTAACAGTGTCAATCATCAAGCAGCTGTTAACACTGTCAATCATCAAGCAGCAGCTAACAGTGTCAATCATCAAGCAGCAGCTAACAGTGTCAATCATCAAGCAGCAGCTAACAGTGTCAATCATCAAGCAGCAGCTAACAGTGTCAATCATCAAGAAGCAGCTAACAGTGTCAATCATCAAGCAGCTGTTAACACTGTCAATATCACAGCAAATTAACTGTCAATTATCAAGCAACTGTTAACACTGTCAATCAACAGCAGCAGTCAATCAAATACAAGCAGCATTAACTAACAGCAGCAATTAACAGTCAATCATCAAGCCAGCAGTTAACAGTGCAATTATCATGCAGCTGTTAACACTGTCAATCATCAAGCAGCTGTTAACACTGTCAATCATCAAGCAACAGCTAACACTGTCAATCATCAAGCAGCTGTTAACAAGCAGCAGTTAACAGTAACATGCAGCTGTCAATCATCAAGCAGCTGTTAACACTGTCAATCATCAAGCAACAGCTAACACTGTCAATCATCAAGCAGCTGTTAACACTGTCAATCATCAAGCAGCAGCTAACACTGTCAATCATCAAGCAGAAACTAACAGTGTCAATCATCAAGCAGCTGTTAACACTGTCAATCATCAAGCAGCAGCTAACACTGTCAATCATCAAGCAGCAGCTAACAGTGTCAATCATCAAGCAGAAACTAACAGTGTCAATCATCAAGCAGCTGTTAACACTGTCAATCATCAAGCAGCAGCTAACACTGTCAATCATCAAGCAGAAACTAACAGTGTCAATCATCAAGCAGCTGTTAACACTGTCAATCATCAAGCAGCAAATTAACTGTCAATTATCAAGCAACTGTTAACACTGTCAATCAACAAGCAGCAGTTAACTGTCAAATACCAAGCAGCTGTTGACTGTCAATCATCAAGCAGCAATTAACAGTGTCAATCATCAAGCCAGCAGTTAACAGTGCAATTATCAAGTAGCTGTTAACACTGCCAATCAACAAACAGCAATTAACTGTCAATCATCAAGCAACAGCTAACAGTGACAATCATCAAGCAACAGCTAACAGTGTCGGTCATCGAGCAGTTGAAACAAAGGTGAAAAAACAAGGCCATCAATCAACCACACATTTAAAATATTAACAGAGAAAGAGTTGGCTAAAATATATCAACCACAGCAAACATTATACAAACACTGAGGGTTAGAAGCTGGACTCAGATTTCGAGGTGAGTGAATATCTTCAGTTTATTTTTTAACAGCGTCTTATGGCTTTCAGAGAGTAGTGCCAGAGCTCTCAGTGACTCCATCTTTGTCCAAGTCTTGTTTCCATCTTCAAGCTATGTATGCTCTGACTGCCGCTATCAGTGAATTTATTCTCACTAGGTGAACCATAAACAGTAAAATAATATAGCAAAACCTCATTTACACAAATTCCAAGGGATTGAAAATCAAGAGCTTGTGTTATGGCCATTGAGTTAACCGTATGTGTCGATTCTTCCCCACCAAATATACGGTTGACACATTCCGTTTCTGGGGACAGCTTTTATCGAGTTTGCTCTCTAGATAGTTGCAGTCCCCTGCTGACAAGATTCTGTCTTCCCGAGTGGACCGCCGCGATCAAAACATTGCGAAGGCAGAGTGGTTGAGGCTGCTAAAACTATCGGTCATTATCCCGCCCCGACACAGCACAACCACAATACACGCTGCTCCTACGAAAAACACATAGCATCCTGCTTTGGAAATGTGCACAAAGTAGCAGTTCATGATTACAAAACAGAATAATCCGAGAGAATTGACAGCCAGCGAAAAAAAACACAGCTGCTATCTGCCACTTTAAAAATGGAAGTCGAGCTTGTGTTAGAAACAAAATTCATGCTAATGGAGGGCTAGTATATATAATAATAAAAGTACATCTTTGCTGGGACTAAAATTCTGTCAATGTTAACTGAGTGTTTGTCTTAAGGGAGCTCGTGTTAATGAGGTTTTACTGTAGCATTATCATCAACATCATCTCAGCGTAAAACTGTCATAACTCACGTCTCTGGAACAATCTCTGTTTCCTCCTTCTCAGCTTGTCTGGCTGAACTTTTCTTAGGGGTGGATTTCTTTTTTGATTTGGGTGACTTTTTCTTTTTCAACTCTTCTTCATAGTCTACATCATCGTCGTCATCGTCTACCTCACCGTTTTCACTCTCATACAATGCCTGACTGAAAATGAGGGGGAAAGACAGGAAAACCTTACATTTAAATACAATTCAGAAATGACAATAAAGAACAAAAAAGTAATACACCAAACAGAACAAACACAGAAAAATGGCTCCAATTATGGCATAGCCGTGGATCCCACCTCATCATTCCTATTGTAGAGTATTGATCTAAGAACTGATATCAAAGCAATCAAGACTTCCCCAAAAGCACTCTGTCTTCATCTTCGGAAGCCTACACAGAGTTCCAATTCCGATGGTGCCAGGAGCAGTTTGATTATATGTCCATCTTGCCTTTTTTCTGAGTGCAGTCTCAACTAGATCCCCTGGTCATTCCCAGTGTTACCATTCCTACTGTATCTTGTGATGGATCCGACCTCTTCTCGTTCCTACTGTAACTTATGATGGATCCCACCTCTTTTATGGTGTATCCCACCTCATCTCATTTATACTGTATCTTATGATGAATCCCACCTCATCTCATTTATACTGTATCTTATGATGAATCCCAACTCATCTCAATCCTACTGAATCTTATGGTGAATCCCACCTCATCTCATTTATACTGTATCTTATGATGAATCCCACCTCATCTCATTTATACTGTATCTTATGATGAATCTCACCTCATCTCAATCCTACTAAATCTTATAGTGAATCCCACCTCATCTCATTTATACTGTATCTTATGATGAATCCCACCTCATCTCAATCCTACTTATCTTATGATAAATCCCACCTCATCTCGTTTATACTGTATCTTATGATGAATCCCACCTCATCTCAATCCTACTGAATCTTATGATGAATCCCACCTCATCTCAATCCTACTGAATCTTATGATGAATCCCACCTCATCTCGTTCCTTCTGTAACCTGGTCAATTTTTCTCATTTTTAAATCATGTAACTATCAATTACATTGTCATAGAAAAAGAAATCCAACGGTACGTCATTAAAGCCTCTATGTCAATTTTAAGCCGTGATATTATTTTTAAGCTAAATTAGAAAAATAATTCTTCTTCTTCTTCTTCACGTTCACCAGCTGTACACTCTGGTGGAAAGTTCTGGTTGTTCGTCCATTTCTGAACTGCAGTCCTGCTCCAGAACCTGAGTGTTGCATGTGCATCAGTTTTACAGATCTGATTCACTTGAATGCAGACTGTTGGTTCCTTGCCTCTCAGGCAGATGCACTCCGACTTCAAAGGAAGCTCCCCAATTAGTCGACTCTTACGACATGCTTTTGGGTAGGTGGAGGGTCTATTCTTGTTTTCCCCACGATGGGGCCCCGGAACCCACACGGCGAGAAACATAATTAAAACATAGAGGAAAATACTTTTTCGGCACTTTCAGAAAATGTGTTTTAACTGTAACTTTTTTGTTTGTATCAGGACTTATACTTGTGCAACCACCTATCAATAATGGAATAAATAACTTCCAGACTTAAAAAAAATATTTATGACACATTTTAATATGAATTAACATCATCAGGGATGCATAATTTATACAAATTTAAACCGACTGGGTTCATCACAATTCTCATGTCATTTACCGCCACCGGTATTGAACCAGCAGGTCAACCAGTTCAAATACCTTGGGAGTTGTAACAGACTAAAACTAAGGCATTAAGGCAGAGTTGGCTGCCCGAAAAGCAGCTGCTGAGAGATTCTTTCAGGTCATAAACTGAAGAAGAAGAAGAAGAAGAAGAAGAATAAATAGAAGGAGGAGGAGGAGAGGAAGAAGTGGATGACGAAGCTACAGGAAGAGGGAAAAGAAGTAGAAGAATTCTATACTTTCCTGAAAATTAATTTGTTTGTGTATATACCATGGTGCAATACTTACTTCCTGTGCTGATCAGTCGATCTTTTAAATCTATTCCCCATAAAACACTTTTATTGTGCATTCTCAACGTCAAATATTTCTTTTCCCTCTAAATATCAAACATACTGTGCAAGAATAACCTACACACACACACGGGTGAAACAATACTCACGCAAGTTCTTTTTGTTCATCATCGACATCTTCGTCATCTGCCGAATCAACCGCTGGGGTAACAGTAGACTCTTCTTCTTGCATATCAACATCAAGTTCTCCCTCTTCCTCATCCAGAGCTTTCTCCACCATCTTGGGCTCTGCAACACTCAACACTGGATTTCTTTTCACATGTCCCACGTCTTCATTCCCCTTGTCTGCCTCTGCCTCATTCTCCAGTTCCTCAAGGTTTTTTCTTCTCCCTTTCTTGCTTTTGGGTTTCCTGTATTCAATATAATTTAAAAGCAATGTTTCCCCATTGTAAATCTGAACAAAGAAGCCAAAACAATTGACTGCACAGTTTATTGCTGATTTGAGAGCCGCCGTGATGTAGCGGCTAGACACCTACGTGCCGATCAGGACTTAGGTACTGGCAGAGACTGACTTTTTCCCAAACAATTAATGTTGAATCGACACCACAGCACTCGGGACACTCCCATAAGTGCTCAGTCCCCCATCTTCATCAGCAAGAGAATAGTTTCAATTCCGATGGTACCAGTAACCGCACACACACACAAATTACTTCAGGTCCCAGGTCGAACCCAGCCTTGAGTTGGTACCAGGTGCACTGGGAGGCAAAGGCGGCTGACGTGATGCTGACCACATTACCCACCAAGTGTCGATTTGTCTGTAAAATACAGGTCTGCCCTGAATGTCTAATATGCCTGAAGGTGGGGAAATAGGTTCTTCACTTAACTTTACATTTCACTTCAACTCATTCTGACAACTGCAGGCTGATCCAGACTATAAATGTGAACATACTGGGAAGTAAAGGTGGCCAGAATTATACTGGCCACATTACTAATTAAATGCAGATGTCTATAAATATTTGAAACTATATACTCATCAAGATGTGGAAATAGGTCATTTATACGTCAGGTACAACTGAATGAAAACAAGCGAATCCTTCTAATCGACATACAAAATCAACTAAACGAAAGTTAACCACATGTTTTACCAGAGAAAATGCAGATTCATGACATTTTTTGTGAGCCTGTACAAATCTGGAAAAATTTATCATTGTGGCTTCAATGAAGCACAGCATTCTTCGACACATACAGAACTTGAAATGTGCTGTCCTTGTTTACAATGTGGCCAGAGTACAAACAATGGTGCTCAGTAACTTATGAAAACAGATAGACAAGAAAAATTTCAGATCACACAGTGATTTACAAGGTTATTCTTAACCTATTTTAGTGCCCCCCCCCCCTCCTCCTCCCCCTTTTTGTTAGAACACACATTTTTTTAACCAATGCGTTTTAACTATTCATTAGAAATCTGGTATTTTACCAAAAATTAATATCCATTTTATAATTTAGGTACCTTAACTAGTGTTAGCACCTATGCTTTATCAAACTAGTTATTTAACCGATTTTGTATAGGACAAGTACTTTAACTATGTTAGCAGCTATGTTAAATAGATACGTACAGTGCTTTAACTAACATTAAGTTGTTTTATATATTTGTTCAATAATATTCTGAACATAAAAAAGGAAACTTACTCATCTTTAAGTTCTTGTTCTGGTGTTTCCTTGTAAAGGCGAGTTCCATAGAAATACCAATACTTAGCTCCCTTAGCATCCGTACCCAGGGGTTCGACCCGCAAGCTGTCTCCACTCAGGCCCTAGGTGAAAGAGTTGAATGGCATTGTCAAATAAGCTTATTTAATTACTGCGCTGAAACCAAGAGAAAAAGTGACATGCAGAGACTGATAACAGATAAAGAAAAGAATCAGTGACTCTGGAAGATACAGATTGGAAGTGGAGGGAGGTTCAATAGCTGGTTAAAGATAAGAATGGTCTGGCATAACTTAGGGCCAATGCTCCAATCAGGGAGAAAGTAAAAGGGAAAGCAGGAGATGTATCCATAGCAGCAGCAGAGGAAGAGGAGGTGAAGGAAAAAGAAGAAATAGAAAAAGAATGCAAAAGGACAGATTTAACTGCACACAGCTCAGTGTCTCTCCGCATTTTTCGCCCGTTAAGAGTGGTGCACAAAGCATAAATTGCAGGTTTTTTTAAGACCCTGCCCTTTGTATCAATTTTCAAAGTCTCTCCTCTGTCCCCAGATATCCCTACTTCACAGATTTAATAGATCTGAGCTGAATAGATACCTTCAGCATGCAAACAAAACAGGAAAGTAAACAAGGGCAGATAAAGATTAAATATTTTAAAAGGTTTAAAGTCGAGAGGACCGAAATCACTGCACTGCATTTGATCTTTTATGGCCTAATCACTCTGCATAACAACTAGTTGACTGCACAATGTGTCAGGCAAAGCACAAGCTCTGTAGCTCTAGCGATGATCCCCTCAGAAATCTCTATAAACTGCGTTCATCAACCAGTTTAACAACTTGGAAGTCTCAGGAGTCAATAATAACAAATATTTACAATGACAAAAAAAACTGTAAAACTAAACTACAAAACAATATCAACATACAAAGCTGAAAATAAACAAGGAAGCAATCACTAACAACATGATCTGCAAATGTACTTCAACATTAAATTACCTTTAGCATTTCAGCAACATCTTCAGCATCAAAAAGATGTCTTTCAGGAACAGATCATAATTGTAGTACCTGATTGTGAAACCCAAAAAAATCAAAGTAATGTTTCATGTCCTGAATTTAAACAAAGGGGACATAAGAAAGAGACTGCACAATTTACTGCCTGATGTATTTGCATGTACCTCATCAGATGTATACTACAGTAACAACTGAAAACAATTAAGAAAATAAATGTATCCTTCCAAGTGAAAAACTAAATCAACCACACTCAAAAGTAATTGCGTTTGCCTTGGTAAAATGGGCAGTTACTTTAGGAGGTACCACGAAATGTTCCATGTAATCTATTGTTTGTGTCTTTTTTGTTCAAGAAAAATAATGTATTATAAACACAACTCATAAATCATTACAATGTATGACAAACTAGATGTTGTGAGGGCCCTTTGGGATCGAGTCAACAGTGCGGAGGTACAAACAGATCGTTACGATCTGAGGAGAATGGCGCTGTGAGGAGTTACATGAGATCTGACCGATGCTCAAAACTCAAGGGAGGGGCAAGACAAACATACAATCAGACAGTTATGGTGCCATTGGAATAACAACACTTTACTTGCTGCTAAAGATGAGGATCAGGTGCTTATGGCAGTGTCACATGTGTTTTATGATGTTGATTCTTAATTCAACATACATCATCAACTGTCATTTCTAGTTTTACAAATATAATTTTAACGGCAAACAATTATTTTAGTAAAAGCAAAAGTATAGGATACATGTCCACTGCCTCGGGACGACCAGGCAAGCAACGGATAGATGGAATATCTGAGTCTTAGATACCAGCATCTACACAGCACATACCCAAGGCTAGCACCTAATGCCTCTTCAAATCCTAACACTAAAAGGCAGGGCAGGACTGGAGGAGGAGAAGAAGAGGCATATCGAGTATATGGTGCTAGCCCCATGTTTTTAGACTTTATGGATGCCATTAAATTTACTAGAACACCTCCCTGCCACCCTTTTCATGCAGGTCAAACAAGGAAATCCAGAATAATATTGAAAAATCCACCTTGCTTTATTAATTTATGAATCGACATCTCAGCACACGGGGCATACCCATAGCTGCTTTGTCTCCCGCAGCAAATGTCTTAAGGTGTAGATTCTAACTGTTTTTGAGAATACTGATTGTAAACTCATTGTTCTCTTCCTCTCATAAGTCTCTCCTTGATCCACACCTAATTCCTCATTCATACACATATTATTAAATCCTGCTCCATGACTTCTATTAGCATTCGTTCATAAATGGTGTTCAGAATGTCTCCTTTGTCTGGTGCAAGTGTTCCTGTAGCTACCATTTCTGTTGCCTTAATATCCGCTCTTTCATTTCCTCTTACACTTGCATCTCCACTTTGATTAAAACTCAATCACTGTACTACGTGGCTGGCAGGGAGTGTGGTAGCCCTAGACAACAAAAACTACAGGGCCTCATAGAATGGAAACCCATGAGACACAGAATGTAAAACTAAGAGCCTCAAATAATGGTAGCCTGAGAGCCCCACAGAACGAACGAACGAACTTTATTTTCAAAGGGTCACAAATTGGGCACTCAGGCCCGTCTTACATTCGGCCCTTCCAAACACTCGTCTTTCACACTGCATCTGTATTTTATCAATAAGCATGTTATATTCGTATGATAATATGCATATTATGAATATCAAAAAAGTGGTGGGAAAAAAGCACGGGTGGTAAAATTCATGCACACACACACCCACCCACTTCACTCATTCATACCCACACAGACACACACACATACATACAAACAGACATACGCGCACATACCCAATCACACATGCAGATACACAGACACACACATGTGACACACACACACACACATAAACCGGCATACAGACACACACAGACACATATGCACAAACACACACAGACACAAACACATAGATACACTCGGAGACACAAATACACACATAAAATCGCAGACACATACACACACACGCCCTGATGCTCACGCAGATCCATACACTCAACCACAGACACACACACACACAGAAGCATACGCAGGCATTCATACATACAGGCACACTCAGAGATACACGCAGACACACATATACACAGGCACACACACACACCCATATAGACACATCGGAGACACAGAGAAACACACGCAGACATATACACACAGATATATACAAACAGAGACGCGCATATACACAGGCATTCATGCACAGATAGAAAGAGAGCTCCGTAAAATGGAAACCCACAAGAATTAAAGACTGGATATCTGTGCGACTCACAGAATGGAAACCGAGAGCCTCACAGACAGAAAAAGAGCTCCATAAAATAGAAACCTGCCCAAGAGTTAAAGCCTCGCAGAATTAAAACCGAGAGCCTCACTGAAAGGAAACTGAGAGCCTCGCAGAATAGAAAACAAGAGCCTCACAGAATGGAAACTGTGAGCCTCACAGAATGGAACCCGAGAGCCTCACAAAATGGAAAACAAGAGCCTCACAAAATGGAAACTGTGAGCCTCACTGAATGGAAACTGTGAGCCTCACTGAATGGAACCTGAGAGCCTCGCAGAATAGAAACCAACAGCCTCAATGAATGGAACCCGAGAGCCTCACAGAATGGAAACTGTGAGTCTCACTGAATGGACCCCGAGAGCCTCACAAAATGGAAACTGTGAGCCTCACTGAATGGAGCCTGAGAGCCTCGCAGAATAGAAACCAAGAGCCTCACTGAATGGAACCCGAGAGCCTCACAAAATAGAAACCAAGAGCCTCACAAAATATAAACCAAGAGCCTCACAGAATAGAAACCAAGAGCCTCACTGAATGGAACCCGAGAGCCTCACAAAATAGAAACCAAGAACCTCGCAGAATAGAAACCAAGAGCCTCACTGAATGGAACCCGAGAGCCTCACAAAATAGAAACCGAGAGCCTCACAGACAGAAAAAGAGCTCCATAAAATAGAAACCTGCCCAAGAGTTAAAGCCTCGCAGAATTAAAACCGAGAGCCTCACAGAAAGGAAACTGAGAGCCTCGCAGAATAGAAAACAAGAGCCTCACAGAATGGAAACTGTGAGCCTCACAGAATGGAACCCGAGAGCCTCACAAAATGGAAAACAAGAGCCTCACAAAATGGAAACTGTGAGCCTCACTGAATGGAACCTGAGAGCCTCGCAGAATAGAAACCAACAGCCTCAATGAATGGAACCCGAGAGCCTCACAGAATGGAAACTGTGAGTCTCACTGAATGGACCCCGAGAGCCTCACAAAATGGAAACTGTGAGCCACACTGAATGGAGCCTGAGAGCCTCGCAGAATAGAAACCAAGAGCCTCACTGAATGGAACCCGAGAGCCTCACAAAATAGAAACCAAGAGCCTCACAAAATAGAAACCAAGAGCCTCACAGAATAGAAACCAAGAGCCTCACAGAATAGAAACCAAGAGCCTCACAGAATAGAAACCAAGAGCCTCACAGAATAGAAACCAAGAGCCTCACAGAATGGAACCCGAGAGCCTCACAAAATAGAAACCAAGAGCCTCACAGAATAGAAACCAAGAGCCTCGCAGAATAGAAACCAAGAGCCTCACAGAATAGAAACCAAGAGCCTCACAAAATAGAAACCAAGAGCCTCACAGAATAGAAACCAAGAGCCTCACAGAATAGAAACCAAGAGCCTCACAAAATAGAAACCAAGAGCCTCGGAGAATAGAAACCAAGAGCCTCACTGAATGGAACCCGAGAGCCTCACAAAATAGAAACCAAGAGCCTCACAAAATAGAAACCAAGAGCCATACAGAATGGAAACCAACAGCCTCACTGAATGGAACCCGAGAGCCTCACAAAATGGAAACTGTGAGCCTCACTGAATGGAGCCCGAGAGCCTCACAAAATGGAAACCAAGAGCCTCGCAGAATAGAAACCAAGAGCCTCACTGAATGGAAACCAAGAGCCTCACAAAATAGAAACCAAGAGCCTCACAGAATAGAAACCAAGAGCCTCACAGAATAGAAACCAAGAGCCTCACAGAATAGAAACCAAGAGCCTCACAAAATAGAAACCAAGAGCCTCACAGAACAGAAACCAAGAGCCTCACAGAACGGAAACCAAGAGCCTCACAGAACAGAAACCAAGAGCCTCACAGAACAGAAACCAAGAGCCTCACAGAATAGAAACCAAGAGCCTCACAGAATAGAAACCAAGAGCCTCACAGAACAGAAACCAAGAGCCTCACAGAACAGAAACCAAGAGCCTCACAGAATAGAAACCAAGAGCCTCACTGAATGGAAACCAAGAGCCTCACTGAATAGAAACCAAGAGCCTCACTGAATAGAAACCAAGAGCCTCACAGAATAGAAACCAAGAGCCTCACTGAATGGAACCCAAGAGCCTCACAGAATAGAAACCAAGAGCCTCACAGAATAGAAACCAAGAGCCTCACAGAACAGAAAAAAGAGCCTCAATGAATGGAACCCGAGAGCCTCGCAGAACAGAAAAAAAGAGCCTCACTGAATGGAACCCGAGAGCCTCACAAAATGGAACCAGAGAGCCTCACTGAATGAAAACCAAGAGTCTCAAAGAACTAAATAATCATATAGAGTAAAATGCATGTTTCCAGATGTTTCTTTTTCTTACAGTACATGCAGTGTGACAGTGGTAGTCACATCCACTCTCAACCGTCTGTCTTATGTTACTTTCAATCAATTCTGACACAGACGATCTTATGTATCTTGATGTCAAACTGTCCAGCAACTTCTCTCTCAGTCTCCCTCTGCCTCTCTCCTCCTCCAACTTTCCCACCGTCATGAGGTACTCCAGTTGTACTCAAATGTTTACTTTCATTTATTTAATGGTATTATACTTTCTCCCTAAACAAATAAAACTGGAAGCCATTTTCACTTTGTAAACTTTACCAGTATCTTCACTTACTTGATGTCATCTCGTGCATAGCAGCCATTTAACAGCTGACAGATGATGTCAATGACAAGAGTGCTTCCCCCCTGAGCCGGTGAAGTCAAAAGTGCTTCCTCCAGGTCCTGCAGAGAGAAAACAAACCATATTTTTCAGCATGTGGTACCCAAGATTAAACAGCAATAAAAGTCTATGGTTCAGCACCAACAAGGAAATCAAATTTAAAAAATGTGACAGCATCCATCTTCCTTGATGTGGCTTGTGAGTTGAAATGCTATAGAAAGATTGTCAGAATACCATGGACCAGGAAAAAGAAATAAATATCACACAAATTAGTTAAGAACAACATACAAAACAAGGAGCTAGAAACGAATATTCAACGAGTTTATAGGTACTTAATGAGTTAATTTGCCAAACCAAGAGTATACATCATCTACAAAATTATAAATAAAGAATTAGGCTTGAAATGCTAATCACAGATATCAACTAAATTTGCTGGTGCTGCAAAATCATGAACACCCAATCATAAATGAGAGAGCAAGCAGGACTGCTAAATCTAGACTTACCTCAATATCAAAATCACAAAACCCAAACACAGCCTTGAACAATGAACAGAAGTGAGCAATTGCTGGAATCTCCCACCAAGTGTGGATTTCTGTTTTGAGATAAATCATGAGCAGTTTATCATCTTCAATATCTTAGATTCCTAATGCTATATGTACAACATCAATCATCATCAGCATGTGTCCTGTCAACTAGCGTAGGTGCTCATGCGTCTCCGCAGACAGATCACAATCCCTGGTTGCATGGAACAGCTCTCTTGATGATTTCCTTCGTTTCAGCCCATCCAGCATCATCTCTCTTGGTCTGCCTCTACCACTTTTTCCACTGATCTTTCCAGTTGTCAAAAACACTAATATCCGAGGAGAATTTGATATAAAGCACAGAGGAGAATTGGTTTATAAATAGCCGCCTGTCTCTAAAGTGAGGTATTCTGGTATGTTAAACGTCATTGTGGCCTGCCGGAGACAACGGTTATGATGGCTACATCTCTGGAAAATAAGGCAGAGGCAGACCTCGGTGAATGTTAATGCAAGACATTGAAGCTGCATTGGCTATTTACAGAGATAGAGCTGGAAAACTGGCTAGACAAAGAGAAACTTTAGGCATGCGGCGACGAGTGTGATGTTCTGTTAAGGACCTACTGACTGATGATGATGATGAATGCTAAATGCAGAGAGAGGACATGGCTACAGAGAAAAGGCACTAAACAAAGAGGGACACATTACACCTCACTCTGGGCACCTGGAGACTCCTTTGTTAGTTTTATGAAACCCTATGAAGCAAATCTGCCTGACATCCTCAAAATACACCAACAGGTAAATGACCTTCACAAGCCTTAACTGAAATGGCAGTAACACTAAATTCATCACCATCACCAAGTGCCTTGTCAACTGGCATAACTGATCATGCCTCTCCACAACCCGCAGCCTTCATCAGCATGTATTAACTGATAAAAAGCTGTTAAGAATCAACCCATTGTGTCTTCTCTTTTCACAAATGTTTCTGATGGTCATAACATGTTCCAGTTTCGCTCCTTTCATAACATGGCCGCATATACACAAATTATGATTGTCTTCTTCTGATATGTCTTCTTCTTTTTGGTGATATGCTGTCTTCGGGTACTCATCTCTCAAATCAGCTTTTATCTAAAACTAAAAATTACGACTCAAAGATCTTCTGAAGTAACCAGCCTATTCTCAAATTATAGGTGAAATAACTATTATAACAATGACAGTATGGGGGCAGTGTGGTGTAAAATGCAAGCCTGTTAAATTTCAACCGAATATATTACTTACCAAATGAACTACTGAATGCATGTCCTACTAAACATCCGCTGAATCCAAGTCCCACTAAATGTCTGCTAAATACATGCCCTACTAAATGTATATCCTACTACATGTCCAATTAAATGTCCACTGAATGTATGTCCTACTATATGTCCAGTGAATATAAGTCTTACTCCCAATAAATTTATGTCTTTGCTATTTGTGGCTGCGCCAAGGAAATATGTTTTTTTTTATCAAGGGGAGGGAATCAGTTATTTCACTTCTCTGTATTTAGTAATTACCTCCCTTCATTTACAAAAATGACACCTAACATTCAAAATAAATGTTTATAGGGAAACGGATGCCGCGATAAGGACAACAGCTAGCAGACTTGTTTGTCTGCTCAGTGGTCATAGGTTTCAACCCCAAATTTGGTGTTTTATTGATATCCTACTCCAAACAAGGAAAATCCACAGGTCATGGGACAGTCTAATATTTTTCAGGGGGGTGGTAGATAGGCTGCATGCAGTCGTGGGACCTAGGCTGCATTCTCTCGCGGGACGTAGGTGGGTTGAGGTTAGGGACAGATCTACACGTTTGGGGTTGTTAAAAGCATTGGAAAGCCGGGAAACCTAGTTTTACCACCCTCTAAAATGTTAAACTGTCCTGTGACATCATCTGGGTTAAGATATAAAAGAACCAAAATTTTTTATGAAAAGCTGATCAAGACTCAAAATGTCTTCTACTTCTTTCTTCCTCTAATTTCTAAAGGTAGATTTTCAGAGAATGAAAACAAGGTGTTTATTTTTAATGAAATTGTAAAAAAGGTCTTTTTTTTTTTTCAAAAAGAATTTTACAGGAAAGATGGTTTTGAAAGAGTGTTTAAAGGCAAGAGGTTTGATTGTATTAGATAAGATATTCGGTGCAAAGAAATATCTCTAATAAATTATGTACCCTATATTAAATAACACTGTCACATATGGCTGAATGGCAAGTTATTTAATAAGTATTCAACACTAACAATATAATAATAATAGTCTTGGGCTATCCTCCGAATAACGGGCCTAAGTCACATGTAAATTACGAACTTCCGGCAACTTAATTTGCGGACTTCCGGCGACTACCGTCACTGCCGAGAGTATTCCCGGAAGTGCGCAATTGACATGTGACTGAGGCCCTGTTAGGGTGTTTTTTGCAGTTGCCATAATATGTGCCCGTTATTCAGAGGAGAGCCTAGTCCTGCTATTAGTACTGCTGTTATTATAAGCAAGTTCAGCTAATAAGATAGAGATAAAAGGTAATGAATCCGTCACCAAAGCCACACGAGACGTTTAATACAGATACAGAAAACCATGGCTACAACCTGGTAAGTGGCGACTACAGTTTCGACAATTTGCAGTCTTTTTGGCAATTTCCGTTATCATGGAAACCATTCGAAACTTGTTTGAGAAATGTCAGCTGGGGTTTCGGGATGGGTCCTAATCTCTCATGAAATTTTGTGATTGGTGTGATTTTCACCAGCTATAAACAGCTGAAAACGGCGGGAACGGACCCGATTAACAGCGCATGTCTACGACAGCCGGACGTCCTGTTTTTCTGTTACATCAGTTTTATTGAAAATAGCGATAAGTATTCAGAGTTGGCTTTAGGCTTTAACTGTTACCAGACATGGTAATGCTAGTTATAATTGAATTCTCCGTCCAATTTTACATTTGTGTATAAAATTTCTTTCTTGTCCGTGGCTATTTAGATTCAAGGTGACATTTTTCCAGGCAATCACTATTATGTGGCTGTGTCTGAGAAAAATTGTCTGCCATCTTGTCCAATGAAAACAAAGCCAAAACGAAAGTTGCGCAGAGAAAACTTCTTGTTTCTCAGACACAAGTTTTAGCAGCTGTTTTTTACATCTCATCTCCACAAAAACCTACATATCTCAGCTCAGAAATGACATACAAGGCTAAATGAGGTACCGTTGGAAAGAGATTATTTACAGCTATCTAAAGTACCTATGGTAAGAATGAAACAACAAAAGAAGAAGAGGCTGCTAATTATTAGCTTTATTTCAATGATGGTTATTACCACTTTCTTATACTAATATACTTGTGAAACTGTCAATAAAACTTGACAGTGACACTGGCTACAAAAACATCATACAATTACTATTAGTGATCAATTACATGTTTTAAAACTGTCAGTGTATACGTATTTGCTAACCTTTAAGGCTGTGTTGTGTTTCTAAACTTGGTACATCTTCAGGGCTCTTACTATCTTCAGTGGTGATGTCACAAGCAGCATCTTGTGCCCCAACATCTCCACCTGGATCCATTTTTTCTGCGTGCACTCGGCACTTGTCAGTCCTCGAGACCTCGATAGTCAGCCCTTGAATGTCGCCAAAATGTTTCAGATTTCCCCAGTTAGGGTGGACCTTTTCTTCCTAAAATAAATAACTGCTAGACGCAGGTAAAACGGTGGTGGAGTAACAGATACCAAACATGCATAAGTAAATGACTGCACAATCTTAAAGCCCAAACGTAAAGTAAAGAACGCAAATAGAACGCTTTAGTGGTTCATTATCGCGATCCGGTAGCTCGGCCATCTTGTTGTATGCCTGTATAACATTGCATTGTGGGTCAGATTCAATTCACAAGATGGCTGTTTGGGGGATTGCTGTTTACGATGTCCAAGATATACTTCTTTAATTTTTTCCAACGTGGACCTATTTCTTTAAATATCAAAGACGATAATGGATTGATATATTGGTATACCTGTTTATAAACTAACTATGAAGATGTGTATTTTGGTATTTAGATGACTTAATTAAGTGACACGCATTTTTTAGCGACTTTAGACAACAATTTTCATCACTTCATCTTGACTACTGACTGACTGAAGTAAAAAAAAGTATGTACGTACACTAGGAGACTTACTTTAACGTATTTTACTACTTTATGCTACAGCTTCTTTCAATTATTGCAGCTACGATCTGATACATAGAAAAGTGCTTTCTTGTGAACAGTGATTTATATATATCACTACTGATAGTTTTTGCCCTTAAGGTGTGAATTATGATCTGAAAACAGTGACGTTAATCACAGGTCATCAGACATACAATTATTTTTATTAACACTTTGAGTTTGAGTCCTAGGTGGTTTAGCATCAGAGAGGGTAGTAATGCATTTTTTTTTTTTTTTTTATTTCACAAGAGTAACAAATTAAAACAGACCATACTAAAGCAAAATATACATCAAAGTGACTAGGGATTTTGGTGGAATAATCAACACTGAAAAGACAGAAATAATGTCAATAGGAAAAAAGAAAACAGATCTAAACATAACAATAGAATACAAAGGCATTAAACAGGCATCTGAGTTTAAATATCTGGGAACTACATTTACCGAAGATGGGAAATTGGATAAAGAAATTGACATTAGATGCAGTAAAGCAAACCAAGTATTGGGACAGCTAGCCCCCCCCCCCCCCCCCCCCCTCTTACAGCATAAGACAATCCCAATCAGCACAAAGAGACATCTTATTCAAAGCATATTTATTCCAACTCTGTGCTACCAGTGCCAGACATGGTCACTCACAACAAACCATAAAAGAAAATTAGTAACCACGGAAATGAGATGTCTGAGAAGGGCTGTAGGAGTGACCATAAGAGATAAGATCAGGAATGAGATCATAAGAGAACAAGTCGGCACAGAACCAATTCTGGATTACATACAAAGACAGCAAGTGAAATGGTTTGCCCACTTAGAGAGAATGCCTTGTGACACCATACCATACAAAGCATACATGGGAAGAGAAGAAGGACGTAGAGCACGGGGTAGACCAAGAACAAGATGGAAGGATAACATCAGAGAAACTCTACAACAGTACGATGTGCCTATGGTCCAGGCAGCCAGAAGAGCTAGAAACAGAACCTTATATCTCCCTCGACACCCACAGCGGTAAAAGAGGAAGCGAAGAAGAAGAAGAATCACAAAATACAATACTGCTACAACAAATAATTACGTTAGTAATTAAATATTTATAAATAAACAGACTGATTACAGAAATTAGTAAAATGAAAGGAAAATGTATGTGCTCCAACACTGTCAACTGTATGCTGACAACAGAGACGCAATCTGGCCTGTTCCAACCACACTGAAGACAAAACTGTATGGTACACGAGAGGATATGGATTGCACGATAGCTTTCATAAAGTCTACCGGCCTCCTGATAAAAGTTTTCTGACAGAAGGATCGAAGAAGAAGAAGAATATGAACCACTTAGTAATGTATAAGTACTCGTGAGCCCAGCCATCTAGTTTAGCCCCAATCCACGCCACGAAAGCGGCGTTTAGGATACTCTCGGCGGTGGTAGTAAAGTCCCCGGAAGTACACAATTGACACGTGACTGAGGCCCTGTTAGGGTATATTTTTGGCCTCGATAATTTGGGACCGTTATTCGGAGGATAGCCATAATTTTATATAATAATATTATATATAGTAATAATTTTGGCTCCTATCAGAATGATTATCAGGTCAGTTGTTTATAAAAATGTGAGTCTTGGAATTGAACGTCTTGTGTGCTACTGGCTTGAAAAGGGTCCTTTAATGTGCAGAACTGCTATGCTGAATAAATCAGTCCGGTGCCATATCCACACTAAGAGTTTGTTTATGTGGATATCGAGCTCTTTCCGTCTCTTGACCTCCAGCACTTTCTATTTCTTGCTCTCCATCACTTACTTTCTGTCTCTTGACCTCCAACACTTTCTATCTCTTGCTCTCCATCACTTACTTTCTGTCTCTTGACCTCCAGCACTTTCTATCTCTTGCTCTCCATCACTTACTTTCTGTCTCTTGACCTCCAGCACTTTCTATTTCTTGCTCTCCATCACTTACTTTCTGTCTCTTGACCTCCAGCACTTTCTATTTCTTGCTCTCCATCACTTACTTTCTGTCTCTTGACCTCCAGCACTTTTTATCTCTTGCTCTCCATCACTTACTTTCTGTCTCTTGCTCTCCATCACTTACTTTCTGTCTCTTGACCTCCAGCACTTTCTGTCTCTTGCTCTCCATCACTTACTTAATGTCTCTTGACCTCCAGCGCTTTCTATCTCTTGCTCTCCATCACTTACTTTCTGTCTCTTGACCTCCAGCACTTTTTATCTCTTGCTCTCCATCACTTACTTTCTGTCTCTTGACCTCCAGCACTTTGTCTCTTGATATCAAGCACTTTCTCTCTCTCTCTCTCTCTCTCTCTCTCTCTCTCTCTCTCTCTCTCTCTCTCTCTCTCTCTCTCTCTCTTGATATCAAGCACTTTTTTTGTCCCTTGAGCTCCAACACTTTGTCTCTTGATCTCCAGCACTTTCTATCTCTTAATCTATAAAAATTTGTCTCTTGACCTCATGCACATTCTGTCCAATGATCTCAAGCACTTTTTGTCTCCTGGTCTCAGAGGCACTTTATGTTTCTTGGTCCCAGGTACTTTCTGTCTCTTGGTCTCAGGCACTTTGTTTCTTGGTCTCGAACACTTTCTATCTCTTGACCTCCAGCACTTTCCGTCTCTTACCCCTAGCAGTACACTCAGTCAATGCTGTTCAATAATATCTTATACCTACCTAAATCTTCCATCAGATTAGTCCTTCACTGTATTTTTTAAAAGAGTGGTGAGTTTTTTTTTTTTTTTTTTTCTAAATTAATTTGCTTTTTTTTAAATTTTTATCTGGCATTATCTGTCTTTTAACCCTAGCTTCACTGTTACCTCATTTGATAGCTTTTGTTTCTTGGAAGTGTATCCTGTGCTTTTTCTGTATGAGCATTTCTAGTCTATATATATATATTTTTTTTTTTTTTGGGGGGGGGGGGGGTGGATTGCTTTTTTTAAATTCTTGACATATTACAATTATTAACACCCACACATACAAAATGCACAAGATTTGTGTATATATTTTTGTGTATATGTCTTCTTCGCATTGAGTTACTGTAAACTCAGGTTGAAAGTTGTGGTTGTTTGTCCACTTCTGGACTTCGAACGTGTTCCAGAACTTGAGTGTTGCATGCACATCCAGTTTACAGATCAGGCTTATTTGTATGGAGACTGTTGGTTACGTGCCTCTCCAACTTCGAAGAAAACCCCTAATTAATTAGTCAACTTGTACAACATACTTGTTAGGCAGGGAGTCTATTCTTGTTTTCCTACATCTGGTCACAGTATCTCACACAGGGAAAATGTATATTTAAAAACCTTTTTTTTTTTTAAATAATGCCTTATGACATTGTATATTTTGGTGGCCTGTATTATAGATCATTTATCACTGTGTATTGCGTCAGTATTGCGCAGGATGCTTTTCCTTAAATATTTCATGGAACTTATTTTAGGCTGGATGAACTCCCTAGTTCAGATCGTCATCATGATCATCACGTGCCTTGTCATCTGGCCTAGTCATTCATGCGTCTCCACAGATCTTGGTATTTGGTGTTCCGGATCAGTTCCACTGATGATGATATTCCTCCATGCCACTATCTTAAGCCACCCACCGTCTCTTGCTCTGCCTCTTCTACCAGTGATATTTTCCACTGCTCCTTTTCTCATCATGTGAACAAAGAACCTTGTTTGTCTCCTGAATGTTGTAAATAATGTTGCACTTTCATTAGCTATTTCCATGCAGTCATTGTTAGTTATTCGAGCCCAGATAAGTTTTATAGAATTTCTGTTTGTTGCCTAGCAGATTATGTCCAGTATGCCTAAAAGCTTGGTGAAAGGGCCCTAACTTGTTTGAGAACATTATCTCAGAAGACTTGAGAAGAGCTGTTAAAATACAGCCATTACTGCCTGTTCTGACCACTTTTGCAAGAGCTCTTTTGGCCTGAGGAAATAGGGCCTCATGGCTGGTGTTGTTGCCCCTGACTGCAGATTTTGTTTCCACCCCCAGAAAGAAAAAAAATCAGAACGTGGAGGAACCCAGGTCCCCTGCATGAGTGCCCAGCTTTCTTAACCATTCAGCCAGCGGTAGCTTTAAAAGTACACTGCCAGTTTTTGTTTAATTAACCACCATTAGTGTATGTTCAGTTTGACCCGAGCTGTATTTCCTGTATGCACCATCAGTACTTCTTTGCCTTATTCTGCTTTGTTGTGTACTTTGTATCCCCTGATGAAGCATAGGCCCCCCTCAAACGACTCCTGCCAGATCACCCTGTTCTTTACTGTCACATGCAGCTCACCCTGTGTCCTCCGATTAGTAGTTATCAGTTTTTTAAAGACTTTTTCATGGTTTTGGTTTTTTTTCTATGGTATTTTACGAGATGAGGTAACCCTGCCCTTATTCACCTCTGCCTGGTAGGGTACACTGTTACTTTGATTTATTTTGTGTAAGCATCTTGGCGAATAACCAGTGGCCCTATCATGTATGCTGAATCTTCGTTCCCTCGAGGTTCTGGGATCCCTTTGTGGCGAAAACCCAAAAGCATGTTATAGAGTCGACTAATTGGGAGCTTTCTTCGAAGTCAGAATGCATTTGCCTGAGAGGTAAGGAACCAACAGTCTGCATATAAATGAGTCAGATTTGTGAAATGGATGTGCATGTAAGACTCAGGTTCTGGAACGGTACTAGCGTCCAAAGGTGGGTGAACAACCAGATCATTCTGGTGGAATTTACAGCCATTGAAAGTGAAGAAGAAGAAGTGTGTTGAATTTGACCTGATATGTGTTTGTTTAATGCACCATAGGTTATGTTTGTTGAATTTGACCTAATCTGTATTTGTTTAGTGCACCATTAGTCACATATATTGAATTTGACATGATCTGTATTTGTTTAAACAGAACTGTTTCAAGCCAGTAGGACAGATTTCATTGCAAACATCTCAAAGCATGGATCCAAACCACTGGAACACATACAATTTACAATATGGTCATTCTACACCAAGTGGTCTGCCTTCTGCTCACTCGTCACTCACAAGACTTGATCTGACCTCAGGTAATTCCAAATTTCCTCTTGTAGTGGTGGTGTTTTTGTGGTTGCTTTGTATTTTTCTTCTGTAACCAATTAGTTCAGAAAGTTTACCATTCATTTAAAAACTTTTTATTATTATTTCCATAACTTCGCACTGCGGGTCTTCGCAGAGGAAAATATTGTGTTGCATATATAATATGTATACACCCTGTGCGGATTCTGAGGCCCCACAAGAATATACCCACTGCCTTCCTATTAGTCCACTTCATTCCTAGTCAGAGTGCATCTGCCCGAGGCAGGAAACCAACAATTTGCATACAGATAAGCCAGGTCTGTAAAATGGATGTGCATGCAACAAGATATTCTGGAGCACTGCTCAAGTCTAAGGTGGGGGAACCACCAGAACTTTTAGCCAGTCGGTGAATACAAAGAAGAAGAACATTTGAATCCTGAAAGAGATCAACATGCGTCCAGTGACTTTGGATATCTATCCTTTTGTCAGTAAATCCGAGGTGCAGTATCTGTTCTTACTAATCTGTTGATCTAAATCCCAGTTGAGAGCTTATTTATCGGTTTTTACTAATCTGTTGATCTAAATCTGGGGTTGAGAACTTATTTGGTCTTACTAATCTGTTGATCTAAATCTGGGGTCGAGAACTTATTTGGTCTTACTAATCTGTTGATCTAAATCCCAGTTGAGAACTTATTTATCGGTTTTTACTAATCTGTTGATCTAAATCTAGGGTTGAGAACTTATTTGGTCTTACTAATCTGTTGATCTAAATCCCAGTTGAGAACTTATTTATCGGTTTTTACTAATCTGTTGATCTAAATCTGGGGTTGAGAACTTATTTGGTCTTACTAATCTGTTGATCTAAATCTGGGGTCGAGAACTTATTTGGTCTTACTAATCTGTTGATCTAAATCTGGGGTCGAGAACTTATCTGTTTTTCTAATCTGTTGATCTAAATCTGGGGTTAAGATTATATTTATCTGTTCTTACTAATCTGTTGATCTAAATCTGGGGCCGAGAACTTTCCAGGCTGTATAAAGGCCTGGAAACAATTTTACAGGAGCTCTAATTATAACCTCCTTAGAGGTTGTACAGGGTATCTGAGATGTGCCCCGGTTTTCTGCCATCCCCATCCAGATCTCATTGTGTCAAACCTTCAGGTAGCTTGAACTGGGCAAACAGCATGCACTCATACATTTGGTCTAGCCTTGTCAAAGCATTTGTACTTAAATGTTTAGCCAAGTATAGGAGGCCAGCTTTTAATTTATAATTTTGTTTAGACCACGAGTGCAAAAAAAAAGTGTCCCCGCCCCTGATCTAAATAAAAAGAAGACAAATAGTTTGTATTGGCTCTGTATAACTCTTTAAAAAAAAATAAACTCTGTGCCATCTCTATAATGAAGGTTGGTTTCAATGTACCAGCTGTTGTCTTTAAGTATATTATCTGGTGAGCCCCATTCTCTTCCACAGCGACCCTCTTATTACTACCTAACAACTACGAGAGCAGGTTTTTATCTTCAAAGACCGTCCACCACAGGAATCCTAGTAATCGAGGATCAAGAAATTATAAGTTGTTTAAAAAAAGGACCTCTTCTCTTTAGTTTACGTTCACATTACCCAAACAAACTCAGTTAATCTTTCTTCTTCACTTCTTCCCGTTATCTCATCAAAGTTTGGTGGTTAAGTGTAAGCATATTCTTTATGCTGTTCCTGATGTGTTACATTTCTTTAAAGCTCACCAAGATACTGTTGTTCATTGTTTTTTTTAATGGTCTTCCTGTTATTTTGTTTTCATTGTATTTCTTGAGCATGGCTTTCTGTGGCAGTTAGTACCAGGGCATTTTTGACGATAACAAACCATCTCATTTGTTGCTCTTGGAGGAACTCTATCACTGGTTTCAGTCCTGATATTTTAATTTATATTTTTTAATTATTATGATAATGATAACTCCTCACATAAGAGAGTAAAATAGAGGGTTGTTTGACCTAGCAGCATAAAGCTACTCCCAAAAAAATGTGTTTTTCCAAACTAAATAACAAGGATAGTATTCCTTGCTAAAAACATTTGGGCTTTGTAACTATTTTGAAACTCATTGGGTAAAGATTTGTTGTAAAGTTCTAGCACTAGAGTCTCACACACCCACTGGTTTCGAAGCTTAGGAAAGATAGATCTGTGCAGCAGTCACTGTAAAAATAGTTCTGCCTGGGAAAAATTTCCTTTACTTTTGTGTGTGCTTTATGTTTAGTATTAGAAAAAAAAAGTTTTTTTTTTTTTAATTAGGGAATGATAACGAAAAGTAATTATGTGAGGCAATGACTTTTTAAAGCACTGTTTGTGAAAAAAAAAATGTTTTTGCAGACACAAACACATTGCACAATTTATTGCCTGACAGATTTCATTGTCTTGCCAGGTGCATTACTACATAGTTAAATCAACATATAATGAAGCCACCAAAAAAAAAGACCTAAAAAAATTCATATTGTCAGATTACACTGTACATCTGTCCATCAAAAATTCAGCCACATGATTACAATAATAGTTTAAATTTATCACATGGTCTTTCTGTTTACATAAAACGGGAGAGCTCAGTTTTATTGATACAGCCTTGGCTACTTTTTTGGTAAATGTGTTTTCAGTATATGATGAATAATTCTTAAGGTACAGTCTTATCGACTACATACCCAGTCAAGAAAATTACATCCTGTCAAAGAATTAAGTTTGAAAGGACTTGTTGATTTCATCTGTTTTTGTACTCTAGCAAGTTTACAAAACTGAGTCGTATTTATTGTCTTGTATTTTCAGGACTAGGCTTAAGTCATGCCTTACAGTCAAGTCATGGCTCTCTTGGGGGTAGGCCGGTTTCGGCTATTCCAACAGTCAGCTACTCAGGGCTTGCAATGCCCATTCTGGATCCAATTGCTGCAGGAATCTCAGCCTCACAGAGCCACAAAACCATGTCCCTTGCATCTAGTCAGCTTATGTTTGAGCAGCAGCTTCGGGGTGCAGAGCAGCAGTCACAGTCAATGGGCCGCTACGATGGCTCAAAAAGTTTCAGAACGGATGGCATGGTTAGAAATCAGCTGTTTGAAGCTGCAGCTGCGAGGGCATTGAGCACAAGTAACCTTCTCCTTCCTCCCTGTACAATCAGTTTGGTGCTATATTGTCCGACGTGTCCATGTCCATGCCCTCAGTGTCCACTGTGTCACCCACATCGGGGTCTTCTGTTGGTAGCCTAGCAGTGTCCAAGTCTAATCAACAACACATGCATGACCCACCGCCTGCTCACAGTTCAAGTTCTGTTCGGCTCAGCAGCATGCAGAGAAATCCTCATGCTTCTGACATACTATATGGTAGAGGTCCAGAAGCTCTTATCCCTTCAAGCCTAGCCCAAATCAGCTCTCTCTACAATTCAGTGTCCTTGGGTAAGCAGAGTTTGGGAGCTGCTCAGCAACAGTCACTCAGTAGACAAACACCCGTGCATACCCAACATGGGTTTTCCTCTAACAGTGATATTGAAGACCTATCCTCCAATTCTCAGAACCAAATTTACACTTCCTATGCAAGTTTGGCAGTTTCAGATTCTCAGGACTTCTCTGCGGCTCAGTTGTCTGGAGAAATCAGCTATGAAGCAGTGAGCCCAGCACCAATAAATGAAAGTTCTCAGAACAATCCAGAACATTCGTCCTTCTCTATAGTTCAGTTCCCTGAACTTATCAACCTCACACCAGAACACGCCCACACATTGGCAGACAAATTTCAGGAAAATGATTTCCGTCTCAAAGTAGATTCGCGGATCCAACAGCATCAAGATGCCTTGAATGCTTCTCACCAGTCTCAGAGGCATGAGCTGGGATCATCTCTCAGACTACCCAAAGATATGTCCAGCTTTCATTCATCTATGTTGTCCATGCAGGTGGCTCAGCGTGGTGGCCAGTTCCAGCCCAATATGACAATGAGTCAAAGTTTGTCTCAGCTCCAGTCTGCCTCATTAAATAGCCAATTATCTCCACTACTTCAGGGCTCGTTGACCACCATGTCTATGTCTATGCAACAGTCTCCAGCACCAATCTCTGTCCAGGCACCAGCAGATTCCACCACCAAACCTAAACGATCCAGGGGCAGGAAGAAGAAAGGGGAGCCGACAGTTACAGGAGATCAGGCAGAAGGTGGCAAGAAATCCAGCTCCACTGAGGCCTTTTCTCCTGGGAGCCAGCAGCAATCACACATACCCCACCATTCTCCAATACTGAATATGCCACTAACTTCCCAACATGTTTCCACATTGCCTATGGGATCTCACAGCAGTTCAGTACATCAGAGCTTTAGAAACCCTGGCAGCAATCAGTTTACCTCACGGGATGCTCAGAGGGCTCAAACTCCTTCCATGCAGCAGACTTACTCAGTTCAAGATCATCAAAATCATGGTTATGCTCCAATTCACAGCCCCAAGATTTCTCATCAGAATTTAGCTCGATCACAGTCAGAGTTTGCATTGCCTAACAGTGTGCCCAATGAAAAGCCCCTGTCGCAACCGTCATCCTGTAAGCAGCAGAAAAAGTCGGGCCCGCCCACTCCTAAAAGTAGCAGCAGTCAGAGCGGTCAGATGTTCAGATCAAACATTCCAGACAATCAGCAGCATATTCAGAACTTTGCAAGTCATGCGGTTCTCATGGGGAATAGTGGCCAACAAAGGGGATCCCCTATGCAAGAAGGTCGATCAGGTGGCATGAGTCGGGTGTCGAATTTTGATAATTCTCAGCAGAAGATGGCTTGTCAGATGTCACCGCTTGGGCAGCCTTCTCCTCAAGGCAGCATTGGATCTGATGCCAGCGGTTTCGGCTCTAGTAAAATTGGTAATTCAGGCCACATGATGGGGTCTGTTTCTCAGACTTCTTTGGACTCAAGGCCAGTGAGTGTTGAACCTACCGCAATGTCTCATGCCTATGAACAAGGGCATTCCACTGGATTGATCATAGACTCACAAGATCCAGGACATTTCCAGATCGACTTCTCAGCCCAGCCATTTCTGGAGCAGTTGGTTGGTGTTCAACCTGCCATGGGCATGCAGTCTTCAGGCTTCACCCATACCACATCAGAAAATGGTGAAGTGGTGTTCACAACTCTGGTTACACCAGCAGAAAATGCTCGGCTGCAGCAGCAGCATAACTCTGCTACCAATGAAGGGTTTAGACCTACTTATCACGGAGAACCTGTTCATGAGATTCAAGCAATAGGGCCGGTTGGTGGTCACTTAGGAATGGAAGATGGGTCCTTTAATGCGTTCTTTGACAGTCAGAGAGAGATGGAGCAACAAAGTAACATGAGTGGCTCACACCAACAAGCCACGCCAGAGCCGGAGAGAATGACTCTGACTTTTATGCCTCATGTGGCTGAGGATGACGAGCTTGGTCATTTCAGTCAAATCAGCCAGCCGGTGCCTATGGTCAGTTTGGTCAAGAGAGAGCCCCAAGAACCGGGGCACAGGCCCCCATCAAAAGGTTCCTTCCAGGAGTCATTTTTAAGTTATCTTCAAGGACACAAACAGGAGACTTTGTCTAGTGTCTCTGCCTCTTCAGTTACCAAAAAACCCCAACTCCCCAAATACATCCCGGAGCCACGCAGACCGAAGCCTCCTCCAGCTCCTGCTCAGCCTAAAGAGAAAATCAGTGTCTCCGATGCAGAAGACAGTCTGGGTGCCGCTAGCAGCAGGGTCAAAGACTCCATTTCCAGTCTCAGTGATAATGATAACTCCTCACACAAGAGTGAGAGTGATAGAGAGGGTTACTCTGTTCAGAGGACCAGTGAGCTAGCTGTGAGGATTACTCTTCCAAAGAACAAGAAAAATAAGTTTGGACCTTTTGCTGAATTGTCCCATTTAAAACAGAAAAATATTAGCAGGGATAAGGAGGGGCTGCTGAAAAGAAAGAGGAAGAAGGGCAAAAGGCTGGCTTCTGAAGAAGAAGAAGACTATATGCCTGGCAGCCAGATGTCTGAGGATGATGCAGACGTTCATTTAGAGGAAGTATTATCTCGGGAGCCAACACCTCCTCCTGCCAGGACATCTATTGGCAGGAAAGCCAAGGACAAATGCATCGAAAAAACCAGAATACATGGTCAGTGTTTCCTTTTTTGTAGTTTTAATTTTATTGGTTTGTTGGTTTCACTTATCAAGCTTTTCACTATTTACCTGTGGTGCTTGTCCGTCATTAGGCAGTATATTTATTCCTGCATTACCATTCAAATCAGTGTCAGTCTCTCCTATTAGTGTTCACTGGCTGTAAACTCAGGAAAGAATGTCAGGTTGTTCGTTTACTTTTAGGCCTTGGTCTTGTTCCAGAGCTTTATTTTTGTGCACATTTCCATTGCACATATTTGGTCTGCTTGTATGCAGACTGTTGGTTCCTCACCTCTCAGACAGATGTACTCTAAATGAAACACCCCTAATTAGTTGCCTTTTACTGCATTCTTGTTAGACTGAGTTTATTCCCCACAACCCACCCACCCACCCACCCACCCACCCTCGTTCTAAAATGTGGCCCACAGGACCCAGGCTGGGATATGTGACAGTAATGTTTCTTATCACAGACATCAGAAGAAGACTTGAGTTTTGCCTGCACTTTGGTTTTATCCAGGCTTATATTAATGAAGACTGTTGGTTCTTGCCTCTCAGGCAGAGATACTCTGATTTCGAAGAACACACCTCTGATAAGTCTACTTTTACGTCCTGGTTGTTGTTGGAGGTGGAAGGGTCTATTTGCATGTTATGAGAGAAGGGAAACTGGAACATGTGACCACTGGGAAGACTTATAGTATGAAGGCAAGGTTGGAAAGACTTATAGAGGAGAGCAAGGTTGGAAAGACTTATAGAGGAAGGCAAGGTGAGCAGATTCTTTACAACCTTTTGCAGGGTATCAGCAGCTTATGGGGAGAGATGATCACCCAGGCCAGTCTGTAGGGCACTTGATGATGATGTCCTGTTCTGCCTTTGAGTTATAATTGGAAGATGTTTATATTCTTTTGGTAGTTACTAAAAATAAATATGTGGTGAATTGTTATACAGGAAAGTTATCAGATTTTTTTTTTAACTAATGAAGATGACATTGATGAGGACATTATTTTGTGCAGTTGATTTCCTGTCATGGGGAATTACAGATGGAAAGAAGATGGTGGTGGTCAACCTCTACTAAATTTTAAAGATGTTTGCAAGCATGCCATAAAAACAACATGTATTGAGCTGTATACATGGGGAAAAGAATGCCATAGATCACATTGCATGGAGGGGGAGAGTTAAGAAGGGAATGGGAACAAGGCAGGTGAGGATTGTAGACATGCTGAATACCTCCCTTGAAACCTCTAGTGTAGTGCAAAGGAACACAGTCACCTGAAAAGATGGAGGGTTGACAGGAATATGTCTTGTTAGGGTCATTACTACCAGATTTACCTGAAAATATAATGGGAACAGAACATAAATCCTGTAAATGGAAATACACAGCTCATACGGTCTTTTGTGGCACTGTGCATCTCACCAACAGAAGACCAAGGTTAACCACTAATAACCACTGAGGTCTAAGGGACAAGGATTTGGCAGTAACATTCACTGTTATCTATTTGTTATAATGTGTCATTTGTTCTCAGGATCTGACAGCTCCTCGGAGGAACCTGTCCCTCATCCCATCAAGGGTAAAGGGACTTTGAAAAAGGATGGCTCTGATAAAGATTATGATTCTGACAAAGATCCTGTCTGGATGCCATTTGAGTTGGTAGGTCTGCATTTGTTTTGAAAACTGTTGTGCTATGCTTATTACAATGCTTATTTAAAAAAAATTGCCGGAGATGAACAGAAATTTCATCACATTCGATATCGCCTCAAGTGGTCGGTACAATAACAACTTGGAAGGATTGGAGGGGGGGAGCGTTATTGTCAGTTGAGAATTTAGGTTTATGTGGCTAGTGCAGTTTGCCAAGAGAGTATATGAATGTGTCATGTCTTTTTAATCTTCTTTTTTAGGTCCAAAGAGGAGCTAGCATACTCACAATTTCTTCTTCTTCTTCTCTTCCACCTTGTACCTCATCGAAATGTCGGGGGGGGGGGGGGAATGTGATGTTCGTTGATGAGCTCTGTCAAGAGCACTGTTAAGACTGATGTTCATTTCTGTCAGGCTGTTCTTAATGCCATCACTCCATATTTTCTGAGGTCTTCCACTCGCTCTATACCCATTGTAACGTTTTAGTGTGGCTCGCTGTGGCAGATAGTACCAGGGCATTCTTGTTATGTGTCCAAACCACTTCATTTGTTGTTCTTTGATGACCTGTAAGACTGGCTTTATTCCTAGCATTAATCTGATTTCATGATTTTGTATTCTGTCTTTCCTTGAAACTCCTGCAGCTCTTCTAAGGCATTTCATCTCTGTTGTCACCATTTTGCGTTCATTGGAGGATGTTAAGTGTCCACATTTGGCATTGATAGCATAGTGTTGGCCCAAAAAATAGTTCTGATAAGATTACACTTTAGTACTCCGAGATATCTGCTTGTGTGTCAACAGGGGAGATAGTTGCCCCATTACTTGATTAGCTTTGGCACATCTGGAGCTAATTTCTCTGTCCAGTTTTCCGTCGGCTGTGAAAATTGCTTCCAAATACTTAAATTCCTCTGCCTCAGGGTGTTGTCGTACTCACAGTTGATGGGATGAAGTTTGGAATATCACCAAAAAATTGCAAATACTACAGCTCTGATGTTCAGATCAGTATCTTACAAAATTCCCCAGACTCTGCCAGTCATAGATATAACAAATCTGGCCCACAGTAGCCATCCTGCAAGGCAAACCATTCATTATCCTGATGTGCCTTTATACAAGGTCCGACAATTAAGTAATGAGACTAATTCCATAAAAATTAAAATAATTAACAGTTAAAGTTATAACCTGTATCTTATTCGACGTAAGCCCCTTGTGCATTAATACAGCAAGTTCCTCATTACGAACAGAAAGTGGGCGTCTAGGTCTAGTTGCATTAGTAATCATTTTCACACTACTTTTGAATCATGAATACCAGCGGAAAATCTGTGCACAGGAAAAACAATTATCCACATAAACTTGTCGCATCAGTTCAACTGTTGCAATGGCACTTTTTCTGAGTTTTCAACAGAATTTCTTGTCAGCTTTTTTGCTGTATGCTGATTACATAACAATTCCGTTACTCTTCTTCCAGTTTGAGCATGACTGCAACTTTACAGTCATCACTTGGGCCTTGCGAATGTCATACTTCTCGTAGACCGTTCAGTAAATCAGTGGCTTAACATGCCAGCCTGTCAGCTTGCTCATTTTCTTTTACACCTGCATGCTCTGAGACTAAAATGGCACTGATTTTTGTCAGCCGAAACCACTTCAGAGACGCCTGTCTTCAGGCCCATCCCATTTCGGCCTTCCAGAGCATACTAATTGAGTCGCTGTGAAAGCCATGCCCAAGGGGAAATCTTTGTTTCCAGCTAGGCTATTGCTTTAGTTGCTGCTATAACCTCTGTATCAGACAACTTGTAGTAATGTAGTCAAGACCTAAGTATCTGAGTCTTCTTTCACAATACTCCCTCCAGCCTGAGCCGTAGAAGCCTGTGACTGATGCCATTGATGTTGATGTCCAAATTTTGTTCTGTTTGAGCCTGAAAAGTGAGATTGATTTCTCAGTGACATTCTTATTATTCTAACAGAGTGTTTTCTTGTTTGAGAATGAAAAATGAAACTTTTGTCTCTAGATGCTACCATTACAAACTTTTGTACTTATTGTATGTTTTATTTGAGAGCTTTCTGTTTGTTTTTTCCCACAGGACCTGAAACAGGGACATGAAATAGATGAAAAGCGAAAGAAGGCAAAGTAGGTCCATATTTTTGGTTTTCTTTTCCATCTGTAATGAATGTACTTGTGTCTCCTCCACACTTGATCTCTCTAGTGCAGATTCAACGCTGACTCTGTTGTCTTGGTGTTAGGTCACAGCTCATTCTAACCAGACGGCATTTCTCTCCACGGCCACACAACTTCAAACGACGGTCAACACCAGCTGACACATTTCACAGGTTTATTATCACTGTAGTACAAGACACGAATCAACAGATGAACCAACTTACACCATTCGGGCAATCTCGCCTTGCTCACGCATTAAGGCTTCAGACATGCTTCAGACGATGGACACTGGCATATACACGGCTGGCTCAACAATCAAACCGTGTAACACAACGGCTGGCCTTTACGATCATTCATTCGACTCTGATTCAGATCCATGTGCACTCTTCATTCTGGATTCACCTTCACAGATTCAGCTTCACATCCTTCCAGTCTGGGGCCCAGTCACCGAATGACCACCTCATTCTCAATCCCCCAGATCTCGCATCCACACGTGACTCACTCACTCCTGTCTATTCACCATCTCTCCGTGAAACCCATGCTATCAGGGGCTTGCCCAATTATGCCAGTCATCCCCTGACGTTATCCCTATTTATAGCATCATTACTCCATCCTTCCAAATGGCAGCGTTACGTTGTATTATGGGAAGTGGTAAGGGTCAGATCCATGTGCACTCTTCATTCTGGATTCACCTTCACAGATTTAGCTTCACATCCTTCCAGTCTGGGGCCCAGTCACCGAATGACCACCTCATTCTCAATCCCCCAGATCTCGCCTCCACACGTGACTCACTCACTCCTGTCTTTTCACCATCAACCCATGCTATCAGGGGCTTGCCCAATTATGCCAGTCATCCCCTGATGTTATCCCTATTTATAGCATCATTACTCCATCCTTTCAAATGCATTACATTATGGGAAGTGGTAAGGGTCAGATCCATGTGCACTCTTCATTCTGGATTCACCTTCACAGATTTAGCTTCACATCCTTCCAGTCTGGGGCCCAGTCACCGAATGACCACCTCATTCTCAATCCCCCAGATCTCGCCTCCACACGTGACTCACTCACTCCTGTCTTTTCACCATCTCTCCTGTGAAACCCATGCTATCAGGGGCTTGCCCAATTATGCCAGTCATCCCCTGAAGTTATCCCTATTTATAGCATCATTACTCCATCCTTTCAAATGGCAGCGTTACGTTGTATTATGGGAAGTGGTAAGGGTCAGATCCATGTGCACTCTTCATTCTGGATTCACCTTCACAGATTTAGCTTCACATCCTTCCAGTCTGGGGCCCAGTCACCGAATGACCACCTCATTCTCAATCCCCCAGTCCACACGTGACTCACTCACTCCTGTCTTTTCACCATCTCTCATAAACCCATGCTATCAGCTTGCCCAATTATGCCAGTCATCCCCTGATGTTATCCCTATTTATAGCATCATTACTCCATCCTTTCAAATGGCAGCGTTACGTTGTATTATGGGAAGTGGTAAGGGTCAGATCCATAGCATTGCTGAGTGTTCCCTCATCCCCATAACACAAAGCTTGTGCAGTATTATAGAAACACCATGTGTTACCCGATCCTTCCCTCTGCCTGCTTGTTTACTCCCGAGGAAAGGTAACACCAGTGTGTTTAGAACAAAGTGTGCTGCAGAAGAGCAGTGCTGTATATATGCACTTGTCATTTTAATCATTAATTATCATTCTTTCTCTACATGAATGCTTCATATCCACAGAAATTGAAGTTTTGCGATGCATACATTATTCATGGATAATAAAAAGTTTAAAATAAAGTGTACAGTTACAAAAGATGAGCAGTTTTCATAGCACTAAGAATTCTGGGAACGTCAAAGGAAATTAAAATGTGTACCAAGCATAGAATTGCTAAGTGGAGCAGAAACACACCGAGTGACTAAACCAAAAATATTCATTCATTTTTGCCTGCATAGAATAGAGGGCATTAAATGGCAGGAAATAATCACTAATGTAATGTTTGGAGAGAGGACTTAGCGAATTTAGAGGTGAGAAAAGGAGCTGGTGTTGGATTGGACACCCGTTAAGATAACCTGATAATGATGCAACAAGAATTTCTTGTACTTGAACCCACAGAGTCAGGGGGGATCACCAAAAATAAAACACAGAAAGTTGGAATTGATGAAAAGGGGGAAGATGCGAGTTGAACTGGTTGAGGACATGTGCTCCATTGAGGGTCCAAGTTCAGAGGAAGAAAAGTAAATAATATAGGATTATTTGGTTTTTTAACCCCCCAAAAATGGTTTACATTATTATTGTTACCACAATGAGCAAATTTTGTGCAGACAAAAGTGGAAATCTGAAGAAATGTCTATCGGGCAAATGATGGACAAATGGAAAAACAGTCTTTGGGAATCCCCATATATGATGCACACAGACAGGCACTCTTTATAATTCACCTCAATATTGCAAGGTACAACAACAACAAAATCAAAATAGGATGAATATTATTATTATTGAATTAAATAAATGAAACATTCTCTGAAAGATTCGTACAGCAACATCTTTGGAATACTGTTATACACTAGTGAGTGGTGGAAAATGACAAGTATTACACGTAAACTAAGATTTCCAAAATTAAAATCTGCAAACATATAGCCAAACAAGATCAAAAGAGAAGAACTGGCAACGTTTATGAAAGAAGGAAATAGCTTGGGCGTATTTGCAGAATGCCATATGACATCTTAACAGGGATGGCAGACGGAAAAATCAAGGAGATTTTGACGGCCAAAAGAAACCTATTAAAGGACAGTGGAAAGAGAGACAAAGTGTAAACTGAAAGAAGATAATATTTAATTTATATTTATGGTTGCTTTTGTTTTCAGTTTGTACTGCTTTTGATTTCATGTATGTTTCTGTTTCTTTAGAAATGAACAGTGTAAAAGAAATTTTGATTTTATGTATGTTTCTGTTTCTTTAGAACTGAACAGTGTAAAAGAAATTTTGATTTCATGTATGTTTCTGTTTCTTTAGAACTGAACAGTGTAAAAGAACTTTTGATTTCATGTATGTTTCTATTTCTTTAGAACTGAACAGTGTAAAAGAAATTTTGATTTCATGTATGTTTCTGTTTCTTTAGAACTGAACAGTGTAAAAGAACTTTTGATTTCATGTATGTTTCTGTTTCTATAGAACTGAACGGTGTAAAAGAAATTTTGATTTCATGTATGTTTCTGTTTCTTTAGAACTGAACAGTGTAAAAGAAAATTTTGATTTCATGTATGTTTCTGTTTCTATAGAACTGAACAGTGTAAAAGAACATTTGATTTCATGTATGTTTCTATTTCTTTAGAACTGAACAGTGTAAAAGAACTTTTGATTTCATGTATGTTTCTATTTCTTTAGAACTGAACAGTGTAAAAGAACTTTTGATTTTATGTATGTTTCTGTTTCTTTAGGACTGAACAGTGTAAAAGAACTTTTGATTTCATGTATGTTTCTGTTCCTTTAGAACTGAACAGTGTAAAAAAAAAAAATAGCAGACATCCCTTCAGCTGACATTTAGCAGCAGACACGTTTTAATAAACCACTCAATGGTGGGCCAGCAGTCATCCCTAATAAATAGCTTTTCACTGTCATTTCAGAAGTTCAAATTGTATTTTATACAAACACATACAGTATGACACAGACCACTGCGAGCTGACAGGTTGGCTGGATCCGCTATCACTACCGACGGTCAGCCTGTGGATCATGCTGATATTATCAATGCCCTCAGAGAAATGGGAAGAATAGAGGACTTTGGTTGCAGTGAATCCACATCACTCGCCAGAATGGCAGACTTGGGAATTAAGATCGGCACAGCAAAAAACGAGACACACACCAGACACGCCAGAAGACAGAAGACTTGTTAATCAACATAGAACTGGTACTATTAGCCATCAGACGTTAGGGTTCATACTGAGGGGAGGATCTGAGCACCTATGGACATGTACGGAGTGCAATGATGATAACCCAACTAACTAACTAACAGACCACTGCATGCAGCCTCTCTTGGATGGCCTGTAGACTGTTGCTGACACATTGTCCACCCTGTTATGGACTGATTGGCCCTTAGTTGTTTATGTAGTCGACTGAACAGTTTAACCAGCCAGATTTCTGTAAAATTATAATTTTTTAAATGTTAAAATATTCACTTCTTGAATTTTGTATGTTTGAAAAAATGTATTCTCTGCTCTGTGTTGATTTATAGACGGCCCCGCACGCGTACTCTAAGTACAAAGTCAAGTAAATCGACGACAAGTCACAAAAGTTCTTCATCTGCTACCCACGCTGGTGATAACTCGACTATGCTGACCAGTCGCAGGCCATCCCAAACTGCTGCTTCCACTGAGGATACAGGAGAGAGTTTTTTCAAGGTATCGCCTGTGGTCAGACATATTCATAATCTAGTCCAGTGTTGAATTCTTGAACCGGTAGGCCAAAGAAAGGCCCAGGTGGGCCTCTAATAGTGTCTACCTAATCATGTAACAAGGTCGTTTATGTAGTTTTTATGTTCTGGAATTGCAGTATGTAGAATTATCACCTCAGTTTTAATACAAACAGATACTTATCCCTAAAACTCTGTTATATTAGAGCCAGAGCCATCCAGGCAGCATTATAGGCCCCCTAGTCAGACCAGTGTGCTGAGACGCTTGCAACAACTACAAACAGAAATTGAATGAAAATTTGATTTGATTTAATTCAAGAACTGACATAACAGCACTTGGGGCATTCCCATAAGCGCTCCATCCCCATCTTCTGTTCAATAATTTTCATTTTTCACATATGGATTGTAAAATGAAAATTATTGATATTATTAAACATACACAGCTTAGCATGGGGCCCGTATACTCGTGTGGGCTCCAGGCAAGTGCCCAGCAGGCTCATGCATTAAGATGGCCCTGATTAGATCACCAGACAGCTAAAACGGTTACACTTCGGTCTTTGGTTGGTCATCAGGTGGTCCGCAAAACAGTTTCCTATTTTGGTGGGCCATGTGTGTTGTGTTCAGGAATGCTGGTCTGGTCAGTGTTGGTTTTGAGGTTTTTTCATGCCACTGTGGCTGTTATTTGTGTGTATGTATTTTGTTTTTGTCATTGTCTTGGGATTGTTTATTTTAGGGGAGATGGTGTAGATCTTTCTCTCTCTCTCTCTCTCTCGCTCTCTCTCTCTCTCTCTCTCTCTCTCTCTATACTATACACACACACACATATATATAGATCTTATTCTTTGGTGGGGGGGGGGGGTTGTCAAATGGGCCTGCCCACTTCTTAGCCTTTTAAAAATGTTTGTTTATTTGTTCATTCTGCATTAGCCTGCTCTGCTACAGCTCTTTTCAATTGTGATGTTCCTCATCATGTGAGCACAGAACACTGTTTCTTTCCCCCCTCCCCTCCCCAGTAATCTATAAATAACCCCCCCCCCCCTCCCTTTTCCAACCATTCTCTCTCTCTCTCTCTCTATACAGTGAGACAGATCTGATGTACCTTCAGTTGCTTGTTTATATGTATGCGAGTGAGGCAGAGAGAAATCTCTATTGTGGATATATAAGTTTATAAATACAGCTAAATTTTAATTAGTTTATTGCCTCGTGGCTTGGCCATATAAGGCAGAAATTCTTCATTTAAATGTGTGTTGCTTGTTTTGTGAGGTCAGAAGATTTGGGTGTCATCTTCTTCTTCTCCATTTTCTTGACGTTCACTAACTGTAAACTCCAGTGGAAGTTTCTGAATGTACGTCCACTTCCGGAACTTAAGTTTTCCTTGCACTTTGGTTTTATCCAGGCTTATATTAATGAAGACTGTTGGTTCTTGCCTCTCAGGCAGAGATACTCCGATTTCGAAGGAAACACCTCTGATAAGTCTACTTTTACGTCCTCCTGGTTGTTGTTGGAGGTGGAAGGGTCTATTTTTTTTTTCTCCTGCAATGGGACCCCAGAAAAAATCCACATGGAAAGCATCGTGCATATAATGCTAGACTCTATAATGCTGACTCATTACTCAGTAGGTGATGGGGTCAGACCATCTTCACCTCCCAGGATATTTCACGGTACCTATTTTAGAGTTAACCTGGGAGCCGTGGTCAGTTTTGGAATTAAAAACTTCTGCTAGAGGTATTTGAACCCACAACCTTCGGAGCGGCACACAGGCATCTTGCCACAGGACTACCATGGCTACACTGTTAGGTTAGTTGCGTATCCTTAACAGGACTTTGCAGAAACAACCCCAACAGCCCCTGTGGTTTCACTAGGCAAATTTACCTCCAGTAGTTTGCCATTGCTTTCTGAAAAGGCCAGCTTTCTTGATACCACTGTTGAAACCAAGGCAAGATGCATGGCCAGCAGCTGGGATCGAACCTGGCATTAGGAAGCGTTCGCATCAACTTAGCCACAGAGCCGACTGGCTACCCTGTACCACTGTAAAAAGTAAATATCTCTTGTTATGCCTTAGGCGCATCGGGCATATGGGAAGAGCACCCATATTTTTACAGACCAATCGGCACTAGGTGGGTAAAGTCAGCCGTCTCTGCTTCCCCAGGACATACATCCTGGTACCAGTTTTAGGCTGGGTCGACCTGTGACGCCCCGTACCATGATAAAAATACATGCAACCAGCTGTGGGTTGCGATCGTGCTACGTTAGGATTACGAGTTGGACTCGCAACGGCTAAGCCACGTGCGCTTTTACTACCATGACTTGTCATAATTTGTAATTTGCTAGGATGTGTTGCCGTTTGCATATTTACAGACTGGCATGTATGTGATAGAAAAGAAAGATGCCCAGAACTACGAAAACTATCCTCTGTGGCGCCTTGAGCCTGGCCACATGATGAGGAAGTTTGAGATGAGGGCGGACCCTGAGGTTGATGGTGGGGCCGTCAGACACTGTGCACTTGGAACGGTGAGTTGATGCATTATTGTTGTCTGTGGTGAGCCTTTCCCTTGTGTATGTATTTACATGTTGGCTTTGTTGAACTCCAATCACAGTAGTCATTTAATACAACACAAATTATGATTTGGAAGCATAATGGGAAGAAAGAAAAATATGCACAAAGATCATTATCATCATTATCAACTGCCTTGCCAACTGGCTTAGGCATTCATGCATCTACACAGACCTTGGTCTCTGGATTTCTGGATCAATTCCATTGATGATATTCCTTCATGCCACTGTCTGAAGCCATCCAACATCATTTCTATTGGTCTGCCTCTTCTACCTGTAATCTTTCCAGTCGTCACAATATTTTCCAGTGCTCCTTTTCTCATCCCATGACCAAATAACTTTGTCTCCTTCTCATTGTTGTATATAATGTTCTCCTTTCATTAGACATTTCCAGGCAGTCATTGTTAATTATTCTGGCAAAGATACAAACATTTCTATTGAAGTATTTGCATATTTAAGCCAAGAAAAATATGAATGTAAGTCCGTAGAATGAAAATGCAAAAAGGGGATAAAATAGGGACATGAGGCCACTGCAAAAGAAAACATGAATGAGGTAATAGGAAAAGTAGGGGGAAATGTAAATGAAAAAAATGTAGTGGAAGTGAACGGAAATTGATGCGTGCAGGCCTGAAAGCACCAGACTGATTAAGGTGATTTTTTTAGAAGAAGCAAGGGATCTGGTGCCTGGAGCAAGATTTTTTTTTTAATTTTAAATTGCTGTTTTTTATATTGCCTGTAATCACAGTATACAGACTTTTTGACCTTTTGAAGCTATGGTCACTGTGATACTAAACAACTGCTTCTTGTCTCTTGTTTATAAATCTCATTCAGGTCTCAAGTTGGTGTGTTTTTTTTTTTATATATAAGAAAGTTACCACCTTATACAGCTAGAATAGTAAACTGCTGCACCTGTGCCTGCTACTTGGCAGTCTTATTTCTATTGTTATAAGCCAGAAGTATTTTAAGGGTGTTTCTTTTTACACTTGATAAAAAGATTAAATAATTGATGAAGTCATTATGTCAAAAATAATCTTATTTGAATTGTGTTCACAGAGACTTCTGTCATAAATTTCACATCCACGCATTTTCTTCCAACCTTATTTAATGCTGCCAGTTGCCGTATGATCCTTCAGTTGTCATAACACATGGTGACTCTCCTTCATTTGGCTTATCATATGACAGGATGAACTTTCCCATAAATTTCATAGTACCCATTGTAGGCTCAGTCGAACTGGCAACACATGTCATATACTTACTTAGTTGTCTCTCTTCTACCTTGGGGTGTAGAGGTTTGCCAGAGAGATTGGCAGACATCACATTCATATACATATTTATAATATTGCATATTAAGTGGACCACTTCACCATCTCAATTCAGTGATGATTGCCTTCTTTATGATTTTTCAGTCCGTGATGTTCAACTTGGCATGTTAACCTGGAAATACTTTTTACTTTCAGATGTCCACCTGGGTGCCTTCAATGGAGAACCAGTTTGTGATGGTTAAAGTGAGGGAACTCGCGGCTAAAAGGAAGGGTGCCCCTCTCACTGTAGAAGTTTTGGAAGAGTATAGGCCAAAACCTCCCAGTGAAGACAGGTCAGCATATGAGATTTGGTAGACAGATTGTCAAGCATATTAGCATTGTATAGATGGCTTTATCAGCAAAGGAGCACTATTAAAGTACACAATCCATAGAAGGTATTCTTTCAATGGAGAAAGTAAATGGTCACCCTAGTATTGCCTGCTTGCTAAGGAAAAGGCAGGGGATGTCCCAAAGGAGTCCATGCACCTGGCGCAGCCCTGCCCGCTAAACAGACGTTCATGACTGTATATCCTCCAGTCATTCAGCCAATAGGCACGTAGGTACACCGCAGGTTTAGGTTTTTTTAATCGAGGTTGACTCCTCTACATCCGTTGTGTTTTGTGCCTCCTCGGTCACGCTCAACGGTCTTGACTGTAGAAGGGTTTTCTTGATCAAGGGATTAACCAAGCTCTCAAGGTAGAACAGCTGGTGTGCTCCACTGCACGAGAGATCGGACATTTACAGCCCTGGATCTCTCTAATACTTGTGTTTTGTGATGCACAATAATATCGGTTGGCCATATTGACTTATAGTTCATCCATGTTGCTAAGGGCGCTAAGGGCTGCGGTGTCTCAACAATGAGATGACAAAAAGAAGCGCAGGATAAATACACAAAACTCCGACACTGGGCTACAACCTGGTATCATTGAGATGACCAAAGAAGCGCATGACAAATACAGAAAACGACGACACTGGGCTACAACCTGGTATCATTGAGATGACAAAAGAAGCGCATGACAAATACAGAAAACGACGACACTGGGCTACAACCTGGTATCATTGAGATGACCAAAGAAGCGCATGACAAATACAGAAAACGACGACACTGGGCTACAACCTGGTATCATTGAGATGACAAAAGTAGCGCAAGACAAATACAGAAAATGACAACACTAGGCTACAACCTGGTATCAGTGAGGCAACAAAAGAAGAAGACAAATAGCTTTCGGTGTCATTGAAACATACAAGCCCACCACTACAAGGTTGACAGAGGGGAAATGCCAGTAAAATTACAAGCAGCTGTTGGTAACATAAACAAAGACTGAACCTATATTGTTGTGCACTTTTGTTTTCAGATTGCAGGTGCAGTATGAAAATGATCCTGTTCTAGAACCTTTCAATATTTATCTACAAGTGTTCCTTAGTCTGGCTCTAGAACCAACCTTCCTCTCAGCAATCCTAGAAACAAATGGTATGTATTTAGAGAGACTGTGGTGAGTTAACATGCGTGCTTCGTGAAAGAGTTAACATCCAGCACCTGTGTTTTTGTGTCTATAGTTTGTATGTTTCTTTTAATTTCTGTATGGCGATACACCTGCTCTTTGAGTTAGGACCATCCGCACTTGCAATCACACAAAAAAGTTAATGATTTTAAGTAGTTAATGTAAGATAGCTACATTAGTAGGGTCAAAATGTTCCTAGAACTGATGCCTGTAGTGTACTTAAATGCCAATGTTACAATAATTATATGTACACTGATTGAATTTTTGTGTGTTTTATATACAATTTGTATAACCCTATGAATGCTAACAGTGTTGAAAAATATAAATTTGAATTACAGTCCGTTCGACCTATCTCCTGTTAGTAGGAAAGGAACAAGGTCATAAGTTGAGGAGACCCTGTATTAAATACTATGGGTAGTCTTTAACACCTTAATTTCCAAGGAGTTGAGCTTAAAGGCAGTTTGTATTTAGGTCTGAACAGCAGAGACATTATGGGGCAGAAGTAGGTAAAGTTGAGAACATTTCCATGCCTGCATACATTTAGGGCTAGATCTATATTTTATAGAACAAATGGCACTTGGTGGAGGATGTAGTCAGCATTGTGCCAGCCACCTTTACTTCCCATGACTCCACCTGGTACCCATTCAAGGTTGAGTCGACCTAGAAGCCAAGGTCATGTTTTTTTTAAAACTAAGGTGCCGCTAGGACCCGACCTTCTGGTCCGCAGGCAAGTGTCTAGCCGTTAAGCCACAGTGGCCATACGACGGTGTTAAACTAATAATTCAGATAAACAGGGCTAGTATAGATAAGTCCTGTGATAGAAGACAGCAAGAACATTATAACATAACATAATATTATAAATAAAGTAAATAACATAACCCTTGACCCATTAGCATCATGGAGGTGTTTGCACACAAATCAACCCTCGCCCACCCCAAATCAGCATGTGCTAGCCAATGAGAGTGGGCAGCCATGGTTTGTTGACAGAGGGAACCCTGTATGGAGGACATAAATTTTTAAACAAAACCCCTAGATACTTGGCAAGTGTGTGAGTTGAGTTGAGCCAAGAATTGACATTACAGTACGTGGGGCGTTCCCATGCAGGCTCAGTCCACATCTTCAGTAGCCAGTGCAGAGTTCCAATAGTGATGGTACCGGTCACAATCTGGTAATATGTCCATCTTGCCTTTCCTCTGAGTGTAGTGACCCGGCCAGACCCTCTGGTTACACCCAGATGCCTCATTCTCTCCAGGCCATAATAATCTTCTATCTCTACTGATTTTGTTGCTTGTTCCAAAAGGGGCTTGATGACATCTGCCTTGTCATGTATCAATTCACCACCCAGTGGTGCAGATTCAACTAATCTGTCTGCCTGTTCATGACCCACCACGCCGGCATAGCCTGGAGAAAAGATCCAAAGTAGCAAGTGCGTGACTCGTCCCCCAATCACACACGTAAAAAACTAACGAAACAGATTCATCATGAGGACCCGTAGATCGAGTGTTTGGGATGATAGAAGGAAATATGAATTTATCATTTTCTTATTGACTTATGTTTATGGTGCTTGCATTCCAGAAAAATTTTACATTGATGCGCTGAATCAAATTGATGGATTAATCGAAGCAAAGTGTAAGGAAATTACAGGACTTGCGCACTGGAAGTCTTCATTTCAGGTATGTTAACTTTTTTCTCCTGCTGGCCTTTTGTCAGGATTTCATTACATATGACAAAAAAAATGTATATTAAGATAAAGATTAAGATACAAAAATGTTGCAGACACATTCATGATATAGTAATTATAGACAAACATGGAGAAGGGAACTAGAGAGAGAAGTTAAAATAGGGGGGGGGGGAATGGTGTGAGCAAAAGTTGGCATGAGTTGTTGAAGGCCTATGTTCCACTGGGGGATAAAGGGCAGAAAAAGAATTATTTTGCAGATATACTACCAGATTTAAAGGGGAACGGTTATTAGCAGACACAGTATGATGAAGTAGATATTTGCACACTACTAGATTTATAATAAAGTAGATATTTGCAGACAGTACTAGATTTATGATGAAGTAGATATTAGCAGTCACAATGCTAGATTTATGGTGAAGTAGATATTAGCAGTCACAATGCTAGATTTATGATGAAGTAGATATTAGCAGTCACAATGCTAGATTTATGTTGAAGTAGATATTAGCAGTCACAATGCTAGATTTATGATGAAGTAGATATTAGCAGTCACAATGCTAGATTTATGTTGAAGTAGATATTAGCAGTCACAATGCTAGATTTATGATGAAGTAGATATTAGCAGTCACAATGCTAGATTTATGATGAAGTAGATATTAGCAGACATTACTAGATTTATGATGAAGTAGATATTTGCAGACACTACTGATTTTACAATGAAGTACCAGTTGGCAAATAATACTTGAAGACAGCAGTAACTAGCTCCGCCTCCATTCTTAAATGACACGTTGTGGTATCATTTACTAGGCTTTGTTGCACTGTGAAACAAAAAATTCACTCAAACACACAGGCTACTCTGTCACGACTGAGACCAGACACAATAGCGACTGGTTAGTAATGGGTTTGTGACGCGCCAGATCATGCTCACCACCCAAAGTCACTTCCATCATCGTACAGTAGTCACTTTCAGCTTTATCCAGCCAGGTGTAGAAATGTTCTTGTTATAACATAGATGATCACATCCATCAACAAAATGCCTCCTGTCCAATAAGAATCATTACGTTTTCAAGAATGACTCTTGAAATAGCAGTTCAGGATCAAAATCCCTTGTTGTCACCTTCACCAGTTAGTCGACATGCTGCTGAGAGCTCATTGAGGAAATGTTTGTTTGTTTTTTTGCAGGAATATCTTCACATGTGTCCACTAATGAAAGAAATTGACCGCCCTAACCTCAAACAAGCTTGTCAGGTACACAACTTTCTTTTATTTTAATTTTGTTTCTAATATTCAATAAATGCAAGGGGGAAAGGAGTTTTGAAATTATTATGTGCAAGTGCTACTAATTGCAGGAAAAACAAGAAGAGACAGTCTCAGAAACAACAAACGAAACTAAAAGTAATAGTGGGCACAGTTCTGGTAAGTGATTTCGTACAAAATCAAAGAATCAAATGGTTTAGTCATCTGGTCAGAATGGAAAAAATCATCTCGCAGTCGCATACTTCATGAGAACAGCAGGCTATGAGGCAAGAGGCTGACCAGGAAAGGTGACTGGATGGAGTAAAAGAGATGCTTCAGAAAAGGCAGTTTAACATTAACGCAGGCTACAAAAATAGCAAAAGACAGGAAACTATCTAACTTCTCTCTTTGATGCTTCACGGCATAAGTCGTAGGGCAAAAGAAGAAGAAGAGGGAGCTGTTAATTATTATTTTTTTATTATAAATTGCTTCCTATAAAAGTTTGTCAAAGTAATTTAAATAGAGAACCCTTTTCACGCATTGCCATATCCAGCACTATTGCTAGGCCCATATGTTTATTGACCAGTTGGCACTTAGTGGATGTTTTAGTCAACATGCTGTCCGTCTTTGCTTCCCAAGGCATTTCCTATGCCCTTTGTAGGCTTGTTGAACTGGATTCCATGGTCATTATCAAATTCTGCCTCAGTGAAGATTGAAATCCCCAAGACCTTTTGGCCAGAAGGCAAGTGTGAAGAAACCCCACTACCACATCTCCATGTTAGTACTGTAGTATGAACAACATTATTTCATCTGAGCCTGTATTATTAAAGCCTCAAATGAATACCAGATAAAGGCTTGGGAAGTAAAGGTGGCCGTGGTGATGTTGATCTACTGAGTCCTGGTTGGAATAGCCGTGAATGCCTGATACTCCTCAAGGCGTAGTAAGGGGTCTTTTACTTTACTTCTGCTGTATATTTATAGGGAGAGGTCTTCGTGGTGAAATGGTCAAGTCATTTGGCTCTTGCTCGATAGGTTGGGGTTCTTTCACAGCTGCGTCGTTCAGTTCACGGGTACAGTTTGAACTTCGATCCTTGAGGGTATATCCTTGTAGCAAGAGCTACACAAGTTCTGTTCACTCACTCCCAAAGGGCCCTAACAACATCTAGCTTGTCGTACATCTATTCACCACCCAGTGATGCAGAACCGGCCAGTTCCGCCTACTCATTTCCCAACACTGTTATATCCTGGGAAAAAACAGCTAACATTGTACATCTTTGTCTTTTTTTTTTCTTTTTCTTTTGCCTTATTTTTTCCGATGGAACATTGGATTTTTCAGCCAAAGTGCTCGTTTTGTTCCATAACCGCTGTCTGTTCTGCTACATTTTGAGGTAAGGAATTAGAGCCACTGTCTCCTCCTCCTCCCCTCCCCCCTAAGAAGCAAGTTGTAAAAGGTGACTAATCAATTGTAGTTAAAAATTAAATCTACTGGTTGTTTATCCTCTTCTGGACTTTGGCCTTGTTCCAGAATTTGAGTTTTGCATGCACATCCGTTTTATCGATTTGTGTGCAGGTTTTTGGTTCCTCGCCTCCCAGACCGGTGATCTTAGCAGGAAATGCCCCTAATTAGTCACATTTTATGACATCTTCTTCTTCTTCTTCGTTCAGCGATTGTTTCTCTTCCATTCAGACTTTGGATATTGTGCCGGGCCTGATTTCTGTGCAAAAATCTTTTTAACTGGCTTATTTTGTGTACATTTTGTTGTTCCTTGCTGCTTGGGCAAATGTACTTTGAGTTGGGGGGGCTTGTTAGGAGGCAGTGGGTCTATTCTTGTTTTCCCCACAGTGGGGTCCTGGAGCCCACATGGGGACCTTTATGACATGATTGTTAAAGGTCATTAGGTCTGTTGTTGAGCACCCCCTCCCCCAATAGGTCGGCTCCATGAACATACAGGGGGTTGTTTCAAGTTTAATTAAAATCAGTTTTCTCTGTGGGGGGTAGACCCACTGCCCCCTAGAAGCAGGGCTCCCAATGCTGGGTCCCCCCCCCCCCCCCAGATCTTGGTTTTTATTTGACACCTGGGGGAAATCTGGGAGGTTTTTTTAATCCTTATATAAAAGTGGTAAATGTTTCGTTTCGTAAATATAAATTTTGTACATTTTAACAATCTGGGGTTTTTTTTTTTTTTTCTTTGTTTATGTATTGCTTGGGTTTTTGTTAAGCGAAGCTGGGTTTTTCAAAAAAAGTCGCAACCTGGCTGCAAACTACAACACATGCCAACCGCCCCCCTTTTAAGAACAAACGGAAGAAGAAGGTTTAGGAGTATCTAAGCCAATGTCGATCTTTCCACAGGCCAGCGAGAATTCCAGCCCGCCCACCATAAAGTCGGTACTGCTCAGCGGACATCCGTATGATCGGTTCTTACTAACAGATGTACAGTCAGGTGGCACGGATGTTGCTCAGGTAGGGTTGTCAGATGCCCCAGTTGTTTACTCCTTAGTGGTTAGTTGAGATTCCAGCATCACCACAGGTGAGTCGCCCCATAACTGTTCTATTCCTCTGCAAGTGGAAATCGCACAAAACGTCCTTTACTGACCCATTTCAATGTTGGTGAAAGACCTGTTGGTCCCAGTGAAATCTTGAAGCTTGTACATGCAAAGTAAAAATGCATAAGACATTGTCAGGTTTGCCAACACTAACAATCCCACACCAGAATTGCAGATGTTTAGGGATGTAGTCTACTTTTTGCTGTTATTATTAGCCGTCGTCATGACACTACTGAAAACCCTATAGAGGTTCAGTCTCTTGAAATGGATTTCCATTTAGCCTGACATTTTCTCTAATTGTACACTCTCTTGGAGTACAGCTTGTCAGTCTCATAAGGTTATCCTTCCAGTTTTATCACTGTCTACCTCTTACTCACCTGCTTTCAGTGACCTTTATATTAAAAAAAAAATTCAGCTATTCCCAGGTTCTGTGCCATATTTCCAAAGGGTTTCTGAGGTAAAAGGGTTATGACACACACATCTGATAATTTATTTATCTAGTACCAATTATGCATAAAAGGTTTCTGATAAAACAAAGGTTTTACTTTTCCTCAAGTTTTCTTCTTTTCCTGTCAGAAATAACATAATTTATTATAAACATTTATTTTCATTTTCACCTCTTTGATTGCTTCCTGGGAGATTGACACATTATGAAAAAATAACTGCCTTTTGGACATGAATCCAATGGGATCAAGTCCCAGAAACCTGTTCAACCCTCTAACCTTAAGGTTATCAAATAATCTGTTGTCAGTAACATCATTATGTGAGATCATATCTTCTACATTCTACCAAAAAAGGGTGGTTGGCACCGTATATTATGCTTCACAACAGCATTTCTCTGCCTGTGGGTGGCAACCCTTTTGGGGGGGTCAAATGACCCTTTCACAGGGGTTGCCTGGGACCGTCGGAAAACACATATTTACTGAAGTTATGAAGTAGCAATGAAAATAATTTTATAGTTGGGGTCACCCCAACATGAGGAACTGTATTAAAGGGTCGCCCCAACATGAGGAACTGTGTTAAGGGTCACCCCAACATGTGGAACTGTGTTAAGGGTCACCCCAACATGAGGAACTGTGTTAAGGGTCACCCCAACATGAGGAACTGTATTAAAGGGTCGCCCCAACATGAGGAACTGTGTTAAGGGTCACCCCAACATGAGGAACTGTGTTAAGGGTCACCCCAACATGAGGAACTGTGTTAAGGGTCACCACAACATGAGGAACTGTGTTAAGGGTTCGCGGCATTAGTTAAATTGAGGACCACTGCTTCACAGCTAGGCGCCTTTCGGCACAGCATATCCAAACTCAGCAAACGCTTGCTTAATTAGTCACCGTTTGTGGTGCTTTTTAACCTTTTCACCTCATGTATGCTATTTAAAAAATAGGTCATGAACCTGTGCGAATTTACAGAAATAATTTTTTTTTTTTAAACCATTAGGAATACGCAGGTAACTAATACATTTCTGAAAACTTTATTCATCTATTTCAAACAAAAAGAAATTATGTATTTAAAAAGACGTAAGCAGGAACCTATAAACATGAACGTTTGTTTATTTGTTTGCCGGTCCTAAACCCGGTTGAAAAGTTCTAGTTGTTTGTCTATTTCTAGACTTTTGCTTTGTTCCAGGACCTGAGTGTGGCATGTGCATCAGTTTTACAGATCTGGCCTAATTGTTTGCAGACTCTTGGTTCCTACGTCTCAGGCAGGTGCACTCCGACTTTCAAGGAAACACCTCTGATCAGTTACTTCCTGCGACATACTTGTGGGATAGCGGGTCTATTCCCCCCAATGAGGCTTGGAACCCACACAGGGCATGAAGCATTAAATGGAAAACATTCCCCAGAGCCTAGAAAAACAATATATCGAATGACTCATACCATATCCCCATAACCTGTATCACTGAGGCTTATGGGCGCAGACACACGTACAACCAGTGGAAATTACCAACTTTTTTTTAGAACTGGTTACTCCACATGGCCATATATTGGCATTTGGGAGACTGAGTCATAACCGGAAGTGACTAGATTTAGTCTTTTTGGGCCACAGGGTTGAGGGACTATTGGTCTTCTTTTTTGTTTTTTTATCCACCAGACCGAGACCCTAGAACCCACACATTGAACAGATAATGTTATGAAGGAAATCGTTATAGTTCTTTTTCTTCAGCGTTCTGTGCCCTAGAGGTTCATTACTGCAGATATCATCCATCGTTACAGTTAGTTGTTTTTTCTATATATATCTCTATGTTTTCCTCGCTTTTCAGGAATTCATGATCGGAAAGGTAGCAGCCTATTATGTGAGACCTTACCACTCTCTATACCACTTCAAATACTGGTTGCGCCAGCGGTGTGAAGCCAGGGTAAGTGTGTGAAAACCTGGATTTTTTACAGTAATTGCTACATTTTAGTGTTATTTTTGCTATTACTGTTAAACTGGAAAGTTTTCTGTTCTTTAATTATTTGTTTAACCTTGAAGTTATAATTTATTATTAATGTTAAACCTTAAAGTAATCTATTCTGCTGTGATTGTTAAACCTTAAAGTTACCTGTTCTGCCGTCTCTCTACTGTTATTATTAAAACTTGATATTATATTTTACTATGCTAAACCTGAAAGTTATCAAGACAATAGACAGAACAGGGAAACCTTAGTTCTTGAATGCCTCCCTTCTAGAGTAGTTTGATGTCTAAACAGAACCTCTGTTTCTGAACAACCAATCCTGAAACAACATTCTTTACGGGATGAGATTGCGGCAAAAGAGCAGCTTTTGCTCAGTGCAGATTCTTTCTCAAATGTGGCACTTTAAAGACGGGTAGAAGATGTTGAGGCCAACCTCTACTACGATATAAGATGTGTGCAAGCGGGGCATGAATTTTACAGGTATTGAGGTGGACCCTTGGGAACAAAATGGCATGGACGGTGTTGCTTGGAGTGGCAACGTCAGGAAGGGAATGAGAATGAAGCAAGAAATTATTGCAGAAAGGATGCTAGCTGAGCAACTTAGCAGAAGCTCTCTAAACACTATTGCTGAAATTCCATGCTCTAATTGTGGACGACTTTTCCTAACGTGGGCGGGTCTTGCTAGTCAGACTCGCCATCACTTTAGCTGTGAGCCCAATAGCACAATATAACACTGTCATCTAGAAAGACAAAATGCCAACAATTTACTAATCATTATTGATTGATTGTGTCCAACATTTGTGTTTGTAATCAATCGGCCATCTATGTTTGTCCTTATGCAGGTCGCCACAATGAAAGACAGCAGCAAATCAGAGAACCTCAGTGACGAGGTCATTCTGGACAAGTGTCTGGAGAATAGAAGCTGGGTATTGCAGGTAAGCCTGTCCTTGCTATGTGTGATCAATCAATCAGATGCTGTCTCCACAATGAAGGTTGGCTGCAGTGGATCTCCAACAAGCCCTGTCTCTTGCCCTTGATGTACACTCACTCTTACTGCTGTTCATCCATCTCTTGATGTTATCCTCCCACTTGTAACGCTGTCTGCCTCTTGCTCGCCTACATTGAACCTTTCCCTCTAGGATGATCTTTACAATACTGTTATGTCTTTTAATGTGGCCAAAATATTTCACTTGTCTCTTTTTTATTTCACCTAGCAACTCTCTTTTCATTCCCAATTTCCTCAGTACCTCTGTATTTGATACCTTTTGTTTCCATGAAATACGACCTAATCTTCTGTATATCCACATCTCCAAAGATATGTGTGATACTTTGTTGCATTTGTCTGTAGACTTCTTGCTTGTTGAGTTAAGAACTGGCAGCGTAGTACTTATGACATTCTTCTAAGAGCTGTATTCTCATTGGTCAGCAGCCAGCACAGTGTTGCAGTCCGATTATATTTCCATCAAGAGTGATAACTTTCAACTCTTATAGTAACAGAGTGTGCTGTTGCTCGGACAATATCGACAACAACATTGCAATTACACTTTTTTTAAGACTGTATGAAATAAATGTTTCCAGGTTTCGTTACTGTGCACTGTGCTCTGCCAAATAAAACAAAAAGAAAAAGTGCAGTCTCACATGTGTTAAATACATTTGTTGCTGTTTTTTTTTTTTTTAATCCTTGTTGACAAATGTTTGATGTGTTTCTTACAGATCTTTGACAGCTTGAAGAGTCTGTTGCAGTATGGATCCGATGCTGCCAGATAGAGAGAGAGAACAGCCTGCCTGCACAAGTTTCTGTTTTGTTCCAATGTATCAGCCTTAAATGTTGAACCAGGGAGCAGTACATATTTTTGTATGACCAGGGAGATTTACATTTGTGTTGCTGTATAACCAGGGCGTTCTACGTGTTTGTTAGTAGTACATCCAAGCTGTTACATGTTTAATAATAGCAGAACCAGGGAACAGTACATGGTTCTTAGTAGTACAGTCAACAGGCTGCATCTTGGTTAGTGGTACAACCAGGGGGCAATATGTGTTGGTTAGTGATACAACTAGGGGGCAGTACATCTTGGTTAGTGGTACAACCAGTGGGCTAAATGATGGTTAATAGTACAACCAGTGGGCTAAATGATGGTTAATAGTACAACCAGTGGGCTAAATGATGGTTAGTGGTACAACCAGTGGGCTAAATGATGGTTAGTGGTACAACCAGGGGGTAGTGTGTGTTGGTTGGTTGTAAAATTGGGGAGGGGGGGGGGGGGAGATCAGTACATGTTGTTTGGTAGTTCAACCTGGGGGCAGTATGTGTTGGCTAGTGGTATAACCAAGGGGCAGTACGTATTGGTTAGAGGTATAACAGGGGGTCAGTACATGTTGGTTGGTAGTACAACCAGGGGGTAGTAAATGTTGGTTAGCGGTACAACCAGTGGGCTAAATGATAGTGGTATAACCAAGGGGCAGTACGTTACAACTAGGGGGGGGGGAGACAGGCAGTGCATGTTGGTTACAGGTACAGCTACGAAGTAAGTAGTACATTGTGTTGAATCAGACACGACATGTTTTATTTTTATTTTCAGTGTACAAATAATCTAGTTTATCCAAATTATCCTTTTTGAAGTTGCCTGATGCTTATTTCCTTTTATGAATATGAATCGGCATGTTCGGTGAAGGAAACAAAGATCATTTATTATTCGTCGCTTTTAAAATTGTCTGCCCCCTCCCTCCCCCAGACCATTCTCGTGGCTGTGGGTCAGTTTCACGAGAGCTGGGCCAGGAAAAAGACTGGGACATCCCCACTTATAATTCCCAAAGACAACTGTGGCTGCACGTTACCATTTCAAATAAACTGATATTTTGCACTTGTTGTTTTCACCCACTCATTTATTCCCTTGAGTGAAACATTTATCTGTAAATAAAGAATTTTGTTAAGCGTACAATCGTTTGAGTATGATAAACAAATTGGAATATATTTATGGGCACTCGTAAATGTAGAAACTAATAAGTGAACTCAATGACACACCAAACAACATACACATCAAAAATTCTTCTTGTAATGCAACGATAGTAGTAGTCAACTTTTCAGTTTCAGTGCCCACGGATCACCCCATAATGGCTTTGTTCCGCATAAGGCGGCTGCTAGATATACCACCACAAACAGTCGTCACCATAACTGCAGTTGATCTGTTATGGGAGTAGTCGGTTACAATAAGCTGGCCATACACCCTCAAAATGATGGCATGCACTTCGCGGGCCTAGACACAGACCGGCTACCCACCAATTTTACCGCACTTAACTACTTGTATTTATCTATTTATTATGCATCTACAAATGCCAATCGATACCTTACAATTTGTTTATTGTACCCTTTTAATGGCCTCAAGGGTTTCCAACGATTTATATATATTATTTAAAGCAATCATTTTAACTTTTGAGATATTCACAAATCTCTTCTATCTTTTCATTTATTCTTCACACTTTGCAGAGTGGTCATTTCTGTGCAGATTCAGAAATGCTTTGTCCAGATTAATTCCATTTTTTTTTTTCTCGGTGATTTGAGAGTCTTAAGTTCTGAACTCTTACCTTGTATGACCAGCTGCTGGATGTTTCTGGTAAGATAAAAGTAATGAGTTCTTTATTACGTTTAAGAATTAATATATGATGCCATTTGTAATAAATAATTTTAACCAACTGTAAAAAGTAATATTTTGTATCAAATGTAACAGATACATTTTTTCTTTTAAATTTTAATTAGCTATGAGTGTCCGGCTAAGCTGCCTGCAGAAACTGGCATATACATAATAAAATGTCATGTGTATTTGTTAATTTCATTTATATATTTTTAAAATGTCATTTATATATGTAAAGCTGGTTTGTTGAAGAGTGCATTGTTCAGTGGCATTTGTTCTTGGACAGATATTATGTTAGCGGGTTCATTTATAGCAGAATGGTGAGGGACAAAGGGCACAGGTGTTAAATATAATGTTTGATTTTCTAGGTATATTGTCATTTACAGTTCTAAGGTGTATTTAGAAGAGGGGTGGTTTTTCAGGATTTTGATGTCATGTATAGGGTTATTTTCAGTAAGGTATGATAGTGTATAGGTTGGTTTTAGGGAGGTATGGTGCTAAGTATAGGGTTAGCTTTATTGAGATATGATATAGGGTAAGTTTTATTCAAGTATATGGTTAGTTTTAGTGAGATATGGTGCTAAGTGTAGGTTAGTTTTAGTGAGATATGGTGCTAATTAAAGGTTAGTTTTAGTGAGGTATGGTTCTGAGTATAGGGTTAGTTTTATTGTTGTGTGGTGCCAAGTGTAGGGTTAGTTTTAGCGTTAGGGTTAGTTTTAATGTAGTACAGGGTTATGTTTAATGTTGTGTGATGCTCAGTATACAGTAGGTTTTACTAAGAAATAGTATTGGTTTTAATGTTGTCTGGTGCCAGTTTTATGGTTGGTTTGAGTGCGGTGTAGGGTTATTTTTATTGTTGTGTGGTGCCAAGTGTAGGGTTAGTTTTAGCGTTATGGGGTGCCAAGTTAGGATAAGTTTTATTGTTGTGTGGTTCCATTTATAGCATATGTTTTAGCGAGGTACAGTGTTATTTTTAGTGTATTGTGATGCAACATGTAGCTTATGTTTTAGTGAGGTTTAGGGTTAGTTTTAGTGTTGTATGTCACAAAGTATAAGATTAGGTTTATTGAGTTTTGGTACCAAAGTTGGCTTGGTGTCAAATATAGGGTTAGGTTAGTGAGACTTTGTGTAAAATATAGGGTTAGGTTAGTGAGACTTGGTGTCAAATATAGGGTTAGGTTAATGAGACTTGGTGTCAAGTTTAGGGTTAGGTTAGTGAGACTTGGTGTCAAATATAGGGTTAGGTTAGTGAGACTTGGTGTCAAATATAGGGTTAGGTTAGTGAGACTTGGTGTCAAGTTTAGGGTTAGGTTAGTGAGACTTGGTGTCAAATATAGGGTTAGGTTAGTGAGACTTGGTGTCAAATATAGGGTTAGGTTAGTGAGACTTGGTGTCAAATATAGGGTTAGGTTAGTGAGACTTGGTGTCAAATATAGGGTTAGGTTAGTGAGACTTGGTGTCAAGTTTAGGGTTAGGTTAGTGAGACTTGGTGTCAAGTTTAGGGTTAGGTTAGTGAGACTTGGTGTCAAGTTTAGGGTTAGGTTAGTGAGACTTGGTGTCAAGTTTAGGGTTAGGTTAGTGAGACTTGGTGTCAAATATAGGGTTAGGTTAGTGAGACTTGGTGTCAAGTTTAGGGTTAGGTTAGTGAGACTTGGTGTCAAGTTTAGGGTTAGGTTAATGAGACTTGGTGTCAAATATAGGGTTAGGTTAGTGAGACTTGGTGTCAAATATAGGGTTAGGTTAGTGAGTCAGGGTTAGGTTATAGGGTTAGGTTAGTGAGACTTGGTGTCAACAAGTCCTGATTTAAGAGTATACAGATATTGGCTTGGTGTTACAGAGGTTCTTCTATGCATCAAGTTTGCTAGTGTGATGGATAGTAAACTTAAGGCAGTACCTTACTGAAGATGTCATCATACAATAAAACCTTCTTGAAACATACTTGCTTAACTCAAATAACCTGAACAACAACAACAACAAATTATAGCAGAAATGCATTATTATTAGTCACAGGTTAGCATTATTATTTTTGTAACGCAAGACTAGACCCTTTTTCGTCAAAAGGAATGTCATGTAACCTCATAGGAATAACTACAGTCTTCCTTTGAAGTCTTCTTGCATCTATCTTCTTAGAGTTCAAGTCTTGTGGCATTGGTAGTCATGTTTTCCAATTCGTATCACTTGTCAAACAGATTGACACAGATGTTCTTCTATGAGCATTGACTGCAGTCCAGAACTGGAACGAGCATCTTATCTCTCGGCCTCCCTCTGCCTCTCTTCCCCTCCAGCTTCCCTGCTGTCACTATTTACTCCAGTTTATATCCCAACTCAGATGAGATATTAGTTACATTCAAGTTGGGGGTGATTTTGAGCGTGAGAGAGAGAGTGTGTCTTTTCATGTTCACAAAGTTACAAATAAATATTAATGATATACATTGCTGCATATTGCTGTCTGCTTGAAAACTTTATAAAATGTGCAGTGCTGTATTGCCGGGTTGACTTACACATGTGATATTTTCAAACGAGTATACTAATAGACATTTAAAAATTGTCTCAAGACTTGTGGCTGCCAAAGATGAATGTTTTGTCCTGCAAACGCCTCTCTCCATACCCTAGAGATGACATACTGTTGGCACTGTGCCAGAGTCAAATAAATCCTTGTTTTGATCAATACTGAGAAGCACAGGAAAATGATGTAGTTTGCATGAAAAGTAATACAGTAAAACAATGGCTGTGACGAATAGACGGAAAACAATCTCTTTATGATGGTACAGTAATATGATTCCACCCGGGTGTGGGGCGAAAATAAAAATACAATTCTTTAAAAGTGAATAATACATATTGTTTTTAAGGTTACAAAAACATTCATTATAAATTTCAGTATAAATGTAGTAATGTGCAGAGGTGTATTGTAACACTAGAAACCTGCATTACTTTCAAATAATCTGTCATCTCCTTCTGTGTCTATGAGGTTTTTGTGTGTTGATACTTGCGCATTATTATTTATTTTTTTAGACACTGGCGGTTAATCGATGTTTTGCTGTATTTCATTTTGGCCTGTTTGCAGTAGGAATTTACATGTGTGCCTTTGGCATATTGTAAAGTGACAAATGCACTTAGGGGAAATCACTACGAACACAC